GTCCGGAATGGCATCGGGCAGGGATGTCCAACCTTGGCAACTTTTAAGTCCGCAAGTCCCAGAATTCCCCAGCCAGCCATGTTGAAGCCGCTGAAGTCCAGAGGTCTTAAAAGCTGCCAAGGTTGGACATCCGTGGCACAGGGTCTCCTGCTTTGAGAAGAGGGTTGGGCTAGAAGACCTCGGAGGTCCCTTCCGTTCCAACCCTGTCCTTCTCAATTGGCCCGGCCCAGGTTTGAAGGCCAGACTAGTCAGCAACCCAATCTGGGTAGCAAATTCCAAAGTTTGATCCGATGGCCTCGATGAACTTCTCCGGATGGGCTGCGATGGAAGGGATCCAGCTGGAGCCCAAACCTTCAAGCAGGGGGAGGAAAAATCAGTCTCGGGATCCAGATCGGGAAGTGAAGAATTCTCCCCGTCAGTTTTATTTGTGCATGGCTGACTTTGTGAGGCACGTGGTTGCCGACTCATCTTTCCTGGCTGACGAGCCACAAAGTTCAGAGCCTCCTTGACCCGCAGAGGAACGCAGAGGTCAGCCTGTCAAAGGGCTGCCTGTGTCTGTAGTCGGCCAGCTTGGCAAGATTCCAGTAACCAACCCAGACAGGTGAATGCAGGTAGTCCTTGACTTACAACCACAAGGGGAAACCAGAATTTCCATGGCTGAGGAAGGCGGTTGCTAAGCGAGTCGCGTCTGATTTTATCACCCCCCTTTTTTTTTTTGCCACGGTTGCTAAGTGAATCACTGCAATTGTTAAGTGAGTCACGTGGTCGTTAAGCGAACCCAACGTCCCCCGTTGACTTTGCCGGGAAGATTGCAAAGTTGCAGTCAGGTGATTCTGGGATGTTGCAAATCTTGTAAATATATTATGCTGGTTGCAAGCGCCTGGATTTTTATTGAGTGGCCGTGGGGAATTTGTGACGGTCGTAAGTGTGAGGACCAGGCCTAAGTTCCTTTTTGTCAGTGCTGTTGTAACTTTGAGCAGTCGCTAAACGAAAGGCTGTAAGTCAAGGTGGAAGGGACGCTGGAGGTCTTCTAGTCCAACCCCGTTCCCAACCGGTGCAATTCAGGTAGTCCTCCACTTACAACAGTTCATTTAGGGACCGTTCAAAGTTACGACAGCACTAAAAAAAAAAGGATTTAGGATTGTTTTTCACACTTACGACCGTTGCAAAATCCCCATCATGTGATCGAAATTCAGACGCTTGGCGACTGCCCCATATTTATGATGGTTGAGGTATCACGCGAGCCCCCTTTTGCAACTTTCTGACAAGCCAAGTCAATGGGGAAGCCAGATTCACTTAACAACCATGGGAAGAGATGTCGTAAAATGGGGCAACTCTCACTTAACTCTCTCACATAGCAACACATATGCACCAAGACAAATTCCTTGTGTGTCCAATCACACTTGGCCAATAAAAATTCTATTCTATTCTATTCTATTAATTCATGGGCTATTTTTTTTTCCACTTTATGATGGGTGGACTTTAACTCCCAGAATTCCCCAGCCAGCAGAGCAGAATTCTGGGAATTGAAGTCCACATATCTTATAAAGTGGCCAAGGTTGGGAAAAGTTTACTTTCTGGCCAATGACCAAGAACAGCTCTAACCTCGCTGAATTTCCCCAAACTTTCTAGTTTAAATCAACACGGCACAAACTTTGCAAACTGGGTTAAGTTTAGAAACATCTGCTACAAAATAAAACTTTGTGCCGTGAAGGCCTCTGCTTTGAACAAAGCCAGACAGATCCATCACCCATCCCATCTCTCCAAAGCCATCAATCATCATGAAAAGGACCATCTGATCTATTCTCACCCATCCCCATCCTTGCTGTTGCAACTCTCCCCCCCCCCCCCCCCCCCCCCCCCCCTCTTCTTTTCCCCCCCCCCCCCCCCCCCTGCTCCAGGCACCAGGTCTTATTCTCCAGGCATCTGCGTTGATGGAGAAAGGTCTCCATGGCAACAGGTACCCAAACTCCTGGTTCGCATCTCTGTGTGCTTTGTTTCTCTCTGGGAGAGCATCTCAGCAGCTCGGTGCCTTGGATTCGAAATGGCCCAGTCAAATCTGCAACGTCTCTTCTCATTCTTGGTGGATCTTCTGAAAGAACTGGATCCCATACCAGGAGATACCTTCTGCTGGGAAGGAGCTGTGACTGATGGTTGGGCAGGAATCAGGGGAGAGTGGAGGCACAGGGGATCAAGCTGTGGAGGTCTTTCCTTCACCTGTGGCTTCTCAAGACAAAAAAGATGAGGGGGAAAGACAGCGAGGAAGAGACAAAGCCAAAAGTAGAGGTTCCTCACCCTTGATGAGGGTGAGGAACCTCTACTTTCCTCAGCAAAGCTGGCTGAGGAATTCTGGAAATGGAAGTCCACAAGTCTTCAAGTTGCCAAGGTTGAGACCACTGGTGAAGCACATCTGTTTGCTTCTAGCCAAGGCAGATGAGCCGTTTTTGGAGGACGCCAATGGTTCTTCTGAACCAGGAGGAAATTCGTGAGAAGAATGCAAATGCACAAAGCCAGAGGCTTGGGATGGGGAGAGGAGAATGTATCAGCCATGCAAAATTTTTCCGTCCACTTATGCAAAGGGACACCCAAGGATCTGGGGGTCTAAAATTACCGGTTACATAAAAGAGTCCCTTACATAACCCAGCACATGGTTTTAATACAGACAAAAATACTTGTAAACAGGCGAGAAAAGTGTCCGTTGTGGCTTCGTTATTTTGTTTGCTTTCCTGAGAACAAAGAAGAAAGAAAAATAGTTGGGAAATCTAGCAGATTTTACGGAGTACAGCTAAGTCCTCAGCTTACAACGGTTCGTTTAACGATGGAAGTTACAACACTGAAAAAAGTGACTTATGACCAGTTTTCACTCTTACAACCATTGCAGCATCTCCAGAGTCACGTGATCCAAATTCAGACACTTGGCAACTGACTCTTATTTATGACGGTGGAAGTGTCCCGGAGTTACGTGATCCCCTTTTGCGACCTCCTGACGAGCAAAGTCAATGGGGAAGCCGGATTCACTTAACAACGGTGTGACTAACTGAACTCCAGCAGTGATTCACTTAACAAACGCGGCAAGAATGGTTGTAAAATGGGGTAAAATTCACCAGTTGTCTTGTTTAGCAACAGAAATTTTGCACTCAATTGTGGTTGTAAGTCGAGGACTACTTGTATGTAAATATTTCCTCCTTTGGTTTAATTTTTTTTTCCCAGACAGAGTTATTCTAACGTCTGAATTCCAGTAGGGGTAGGCAATCCAGAGAGTTTTTACTGGCAGATTTCTGTTAAAAGGTTACAGGGTTTAATATGATAACCGATCTACAACTCAACCACGATTGGTCCAAATTTTATTATGTTCTTTTATGGTACTATATGTAGGTTGCAGACAGTTTGTCCTTGACATATGTTTCTGGCTGTGTAAATAGTGGGTGAAAACTCTCATTTTTCTGAAGTTGTTCACGCTGTGTAATCTTTTGATCACCCGCAGCGTGTAAAAATGGTTTCTTCTAATAGGCTAATTTTCTACTTCGAATACAGTCTACAGTTAATGCGTGGTTAAGGACAGGTGGATATACGACTAATCCCATAATTTTTGGTTCTAAATCTCTAATTCCCTCGGTATCCTAACAGTTTAATAGCCATTTATTGCAACAGATCTCCCAAATCGATGAGGTTTTAGATGCTTTGGGATTATCGATGCTGAACCTGAGAATTTGGAGGAGACAACCCCTAAAATCTAAACCAGTGTTTCCCCAACTTTGGCAACATTAAGAGGGGTGGATGGCTAAAGGTCTCTGCAATCCCATCTCTGCATGCATTGGGGAAATTAAGGCAGAAGTCCACCAATAAGAAGGGACTCTACCTGTTGGACTTCTGCAGACCACAGCTGGAGCGTTCCTGAAATATAACCTCTGGCCAGAACGCCAGAATCCACAGCTGTGGAGGACTGGAGTCTCCAGGCGGTGTCTTCCAGATGTTGGTGCCTGGCAGGGAATGAAGGGTTTTGTAGTCTACACCTCTGGCAAAAACGCCCCTTTACTGAGCTGGCTCCTTTCAGTGTATTTGGGCTAGGAAAGAAAAGGAATGGGGAACTCTCTGGCAGGGGAGAAGGGATGTGGTAGTCCACACGTCTGGAGGACCAGAGTCCCCAGCTGGTAGGCATCACATGTTGATGCCCTGGAAGGGGATGAGGGAGGTTGTAGTCTTCCCCTCTGGAAAACTAGAGTCCCCAGTTGGTGCCCTCCAAATGTTGGTGTCCTGGCAGGGGATGAGGGAGGTTGTAGTCTTCCCCTCTGGGAAACTGGAGTCCCAGTTGGTGCCCTCCAAATGTTGATGCCCTGGAAGGGGATGAGGGAGGTTGTAGTCTTCCCCTCTGGAAAACTAGAGTCCCCAGTTGGTGCCCTCCAAATGTTGGTGTCCTGGCAGGGGATGAGGGAGGTTGTAGTCTTCCCCTCTGGGAAACTGGAGTCTCCAGTTGGTGCCCTCCAAATGTCGGTGTCCTGGCAGAGGATGAGGGCCATTGTAGTCTACACCCCTCTGGGAGACTAGAGATGGGTGCCCTCCAGATGTGGGTGCCCGCAGCTGTTCTGAAGCCCGACGCCCATCCCTGGTTAGGGCTGGGTTCCCTCTGGATGGGGCTGATGGGACCTGTTGCCGAGCGCACCTGGCAGGCCCAGGTGTCCACAGTCCCTCCCATTCGCCCCCCCCACACACACACCTCCACACCCCCTTCCCCCCCCAGCCGGAGCCACAGCCCGGAGCTGCAGGCTGACGCAACCGCCCCGCCCCGCCCCTTCCCCTCCCCCCCCAAGCCCCTCCCCCTCCCCCCAAGCCCCTCCCCCTCCTTCTTTCAACCCAGGTCTCGCCTTTCCCCCCCCCCCCAGAAGCTGACTCTGGGCTCAGCCAATCCGAGCCCCCCTCTCTCCCTGCCCCTCCCCTCGGCGGCTGGCGGAGGCTATAAAAGGCAGCGGCGGGGCGCGCGGGGCCAGCAGGAGCCGCCTGGACGGGACGGGCTGAGCCGCAGCGGAGCGGAGCCGAGCGGAGCGAGCCACGTGCGCCCAGCCGGAGAGCCCGGAGGCGATGACGGCCACCAAGAGCGCGTCCAACGGGGACCTCGGAGGGGCGTCGGCGGGGAAGCTGCCCGGCCGGGGCCGTCGGGTGCGGGGCTGCCTGCGGGCCAACCTGCTGGTGCTGCTGACGGTGTCGGGCGTGGCGGCCGGCGTGGCGCTGGGGCTGGCGGTGCGGCGGCCGGGCGGGCTGAGCGCCGCCGAGGTGCAGCTCTTCTCCTTCCCGGGGGAGCTGCTGCTGCGGCTGCTGAAGATGATCATCCTGCCGCTGGTGGTCTGCAGCCTGGTGGCCGGAGCCGCCAGCCTCGACCCGGCCGTCCTGGGCCGGCTGGGCGGCTGGGCCATGCTCTTCTTCCTCCTGACCACCTTGCTGGCTTCCTCCATCGGCGTCGGCATGGCTTTCGCCATCCAGCCCGGCGCCGGCGCCGCCGACCCCAGCCTGGCCAAGTACGGCGACCAGGACGGAGTGCCCGGACGGAAGGAGGTGGTCGACTCCTTCCTCGACCTGGTCAGGTGAGAGAGAGCGGCCGAGCGGGATGCCAGCGAGGCTGAACCTGGCCGTAAGAGGCTTCTTCCCCCGGGCAGCCCGAAGGCTTCCTTTTACATCGGGGGGGGGGGGGGGGTCTGCGACCTTGGCCCCTTGAAGCCCGGTGGACTCAAAGTCCCAGAATTCCCCAGCCAGCTCTGCTTTGGGAATTCTGGGAGTTGAAGTCTGCCAAGGTTGGGAGACCCCAGTTTTAGATCCCCTAGCCCTCATCCTCACCTTCAGGGGTGGTTTTCCAAAAGGCAACTGGACTTTTTCTCCTTTTTGGGGGAGTGGAGGGAAACGTTTTGCTTCTCATCCAAGAAGCATCTTCAGTTCCTGAAAATAAGCGACACGTTTTCCAAAAAACCAAGAAAGTCCAGTTGCCTTTTGGAAAAGAACCTGACGGCCATGACCTGGATGTACGGACAGCCTCCATGGACCGACATCTTCAGGGCTTCCCAGATGTTGGGGAGCTGCTGCCTGCAGATCTGCAAACATCTGGCAGGGGAGGGAGATCGCTCCCTGCTCCCCAACTATAAAGGAGACGTCCTGGTGTCCTGCTGGTCTGGATTGTGGCCGGATTCTCCTGGGTGCGATGCTCACTTTGGAGACCCAACCCCCGAAGTGGATGTGTGTGTATGAATGAAGGCGTGTGTGCATGTGTGAATGAGCCTTTGTGTGTCTTGGCCAGTAAAAATAAAACGTAGATCCGGCACGCACGAGGATGCTTTGCGTTGGGGGGGGGGGGCTGAGCTCAGCTAGTGAGCCTTGCAACATACGGAAAAAGACTGAATCAAAAGGCCACGTTAGACTGAGCCACGCAATGAGCATTTCCGAGCTGTGGGACTTCCCCTGTCGTATCCGTATCCGGGCCGGGCAGTTTGTTATCAGTCCCTTTTTCTCAAGAAAACTGCAGCATTCACACAATCCTCTGGGACAATTGCATCATCAAGCTGGATTCTGTTAATCGGAGGTTGAGCCTGGTTCAACTAACCACAAAGGGCAGAGCCAGTTCTGCCCACTCAAGTTGCTTTGTCCAGTTGGCTAGCTGGGGGTCCCGGGAGGGCTGGTGCTTGGTCCCTCCCTGCCCTTCCCTTCCCTAGAGTTTTCTCCCCCCTCCCCATCAGCTCCACCCCTCCGTGCATTTTCCAGGATGCAAAATTAGAAAGAGAGACCGGCTTTCCTGGTTTCCTAGAGAACTTGGTTTCCCAGGGCATCCTGGGCTCTCCTTAAAAGGTCATTGATCGTAGTCTGTTGCCCCCCCTCCCCCTTACACACGCCCAGACATGGTACAGAATGTTCTCTGAAGGCCAGTCGCCCTACCCCAACAGCCTTTTTCGTAACGGACATGGCTTCTGACGAAATATTTGGGGTGGGAGGCAGGCCAGAGACGTAAGAGGGAAGCAGATCACTTTTGGGATCCTGGCTTGCAACCTCAAATCTGCCCTGTCCTCCCGCTCTCCCAAGAACCAACTGTTCCTTTGAAAGATCCTTTCTGGGGGGGGGCAGGCATGGGTGTGAGGGTCTCTTCTAACCATTTGTGGCCATAAGCCAACTTGTCTTGGTTTCCTCCTGCCACGGAGGAAACTTAAATCCCTTTTAAGTTAATTTCCAGCATCCCTGTTGCAATTGAGCAACGCTGCTTGTTTGTGTCTCATTACCTAAAGAAGGAAAAAAAAACCCCACTTTTTACAAAATTTGCAGTAATTCCACCCCCAAGTTTGGGAAGCCCTGTCGTAACAGCTGCTCACATATCCCGCCAACAACCCAGCGGAAAGTCAAAAAAGAACCCGGTTACAAAAACCCTGGCAATGGATAGACTGACTTGAATCCTGATTTATTTCAAAGTTGGCACCACAGGCTGCGTATTCCCTTGGCTCAGCCCCTATGGGGGTAACCTAGGGAAGGGGGCTACCGAATCTTTTGATAAATGTTTCGCCTTTTGAAATGGGGTTTCTTTTTTATCATTTGTATGCTGCTTCATCTTAAATGAGGCCGATTTTAAGGATGGTTTTTAATTGATTGTCTTGTCCGTCTCTGACAGACAGAGAGAGACGGTTAAGAACTATAAAATAATAAAATGAGATTAGGCAGACGTTAGAATATTTCATATTTTTTCCCAGGGCCATCTTAATGGAATGGGAAGATTCCAGGTACAGAAATCCAGTTTTCTGCCGTTGAGATTTTAAGACAGTGTTTCTTGAAGTTGGCTGCTTGAAGATGGGGGGACTTCAAGGCCCCAAATTCCCCTTGGGAAATTCTGGGATTTGAAGTCCCCCCGTCTTCAAGCAGCCAACTTCAAGAAACACTGTTCTGTCTTTGAGCATCTTTCTGGATTTCATCTCGTGTTGTGAACAAAGACGCTTGGCAATCCCTCGAGGCAGAAAAACCTGGTGTGGGTGATGATTTACACATCTTCCAGCAAAATTTTAAACTCTGGTTCTTGTTTTGAGAGATGCCAGGACTTGCAACTTGGCTCTTGCGTGTCCCGGGCTCAAGTTTTCCCTTCAAGCGTCTTGGAAAACCGCTCTAAAAACCCATTTAGCAACCAACGATTTTCTCCAAAACCACAATTTGCCAGTCACCTTTCACTTGAATCATCCACCAGGCCTGTCTGGAACCGCTTTGCCCTCAGGATAGGCAGATACGAATTCCCAGAATTCCCTAGCCAGCTGAGAATTCTGGGACTTCGGAAGAATGCCTTAGAAGACCCTTTCTACAATTTTCTCCAGAGCTTCTGAGGAATGGAAGTGAAGACAGATGGTTAAGTCCACACATCTTTGTTTGCAAAATGCCAGCGAGCCTAAACCTTGGCGGAAAAAAATAAGACTTCCTTTTGAGAATTCAGATTTTGCTTCCCTTGATAATTTAGAGAGTTCAATGCGGAAATTTGCACACGTGTGGCTTTTGCAATTCAGGGTTTTTTTTTCCCTGTTTAAATAATACCTTAAATAATATTGCTCGTACTGTGATATAACGGCAGTGATACATGGCTTGATCTGACCAGCCTCTCATCCTTAAGAATTTTCATATCCCACCTACTCAAACAGTTTCCTTCCCCTTTGGGCAGCTCACAGCCACCAGACCCTTCGGCTACACCTACTAGACAAAACTCAGAATTTCCAAGTTTAGCATGATGGAAAATGTGGTTTATAAATCTGTCATGTTGACCTCTGGTGCAGGAAGAGAAACAGCTTTTAAAAAAATCCTGAGAGGCAGGAAAGATTTAGCTAAAGTGATCCGATGTCGTGAATGGAATCCTTCACCTGCAACAAGATTTTTTTTTTCCTCCTTCTGGCCGTTTTTTTTCCTTTGCAGATGGGCGTTGCAAGGGGCCGTGTCTTGCCGCCAAATCTGATGCAACATTTCCTTGTTGTTGAGTTTCTTCGCCAGTGGGGAAGTCGGCTGGGTTTTTCTCCCCCCCCCCTCTCTAAGACCTTTTTCCTCTTCTTCCCGAAACCTGCATTAAAAAAAAGTCTCATTTATGATGGGGGTTATTTCAAGACCAAAAAGCAAATAGTTTCAGATTTGCAGACATTTTTTTCAGTAAACAGAAAAAGGCGTTGAGTTGCATTCAGTGCATTGAGTAAGCTGGGGAGCTTTGGGGGAAATGCAGATAGCATTTATTGCGGGGGGAATAACAAAAAAGAAGAAAGATAGGCAGGCCTGAATTGCTTGCTTTAAAAAAATTATTGATTTTTGCAGTTTTTGAGAGAAGTAGTTTGGGTTTGTTTAAGGCAGATGTTTACGTTTTTTATTGGGTTCCACCCCCCAAATTTTTTTTTTTTGCAGTGCTGGATTTCAGCACAATGAAAACCTCCTAGGGGGGTGGGTTGCAAAGAACCTTGCCCCCCCTTTTATGAGACCCTCTCTCTTCAAAGCACTTGCCATGTTTTTCTAGTTTGCACAGTTATGTGTGAGTTGTTGTGCAGAAACCTTGAAATTAAAATTAAAAATTAAAGTTGCAGGCTTGGGGGTGGGCAGCGAGAAACTGGATGAGCAGAGAGGCCTGGTTGATGCCCCCACCCGGACGGAAGGCCCATGCGGGGGGTGGGGGTGGGGGGCTAAACAGAACCCAGCACAGCTCCACAAAATATATAGTCCTTGACTTATGACTATAATTGAGCCCAAAATTTCTGTTCCTAAGCGATGCAGTTAAGTGAGGTTTTTTCCCCCAGCTAATCTAATGTTCCCATTGGCTTTGCTTGTCAGAAGGTCGCAAAAGGGAATAACGTGACCCCGGGACACTGCAACCGTCACAAATATGAGTCAGTTGGCCAAGCGTCCAAATTTTGACCACGTGACCATGCGTCCTCCGTGTGAAAAACGGTCATAAGTCACTTTTTCCATGAAAAAAGATGAGTGAAACGACTCTTGGTCTTGATTTGCAAGCATCCAATTTAAGACGGGCGGCCAACAGGTTTAATAATAAATAGACTTTCAAATCCTTGCAGACAAGGATAAGCCAAGCTGTTATTTACACACATGCACATCCGGAAGAGCCGAACATAAAAATGAATGGCCAGCAATTCAGGCAGAGGACCAGCCCTCGTGACGGCTTTACTACCATACAATCTGGGAATTGTAGAGGTTTGGGGAGGGGAGAGAAATGCCCGATGGCTGGAGGTCAACACAACCTCCAGATCCAAGAGGAACTGGCCAGCTTTGTACTACACATTCGACCCTCCTGCGGAAGCTGGCTTGTATGTGGCCAGACTGTGTATGGCTGAGAGGTTTGGATGAGCCCAGTCAGGTGGGCTTGCTGAGCAACTCATGACCTTAAGGGGTTCTGGGTGCTCTCTTGAGTTTGCTTGTTTTCTTACAGACGTTTCCTGACCCAACTAGGTAACATCATCAGGGCTACAAGGGGGAGTGAAGTTTGCAGAGTGGAGGAAGAGGAAGATGACAACTATGAGGCCCTTGATGCTCTGAACTTGGTTGCTACCGTATAGCACTGATGATGTTACCTACTTGGGTAATAAAACGTCTGCAAGAAAGCAGCCGAGCTCAGAAAGCGCCAAGGACCCCTCCGTTCAACACAGAGCTACAAATATTCTCCTTTATTGGTACTCGCAACCTTGTGCAACGGGTATTTATTTATTTATTTGAATTTATATACCGCCCTTCTCCCGAAGGACTCAGGGCGGTGTACAGCCAGAATAAGAACATACAAATAGAAACAGCTCTGACTGAGGAACTCTGGGAGTTGAAGTCCACGAGTTTTAAAGTTGCCAAGGTTGGAGACTCCTGGACTAGGAAGGCCTCCAAAATCCCTTCCAACCCTATGATTCTACGTTCTATGACGGGGGTCTCCAAACTCAGTGCCTTTAAGACTCGTGGTCTTCAACTCTCAGAATTCCCCAGCCAGCCATGGAATTCTGAGAGTTGGAAATCCACAAGTCTTACAAGTGCCAAGTTGGGAGAACCCTGTTCTCTCAGATGTTCTCCAGAACTTTCCTTTGGTGGCTTCTGGTGCCAAAGGCACAATGTGTTCCTTTCGGAAAGAGAGAAGCCAGCTGATTATTTTCGGCTTTGGGGAATGAAGGTTTGATCTTAGGTTGTCCTCTGGTGGTGTCATGTCCAGAACCGGACGAAGGAGAGGAGTCAGAAGGGGTGTGTGGGGGTGGGTGTGATGAGATGGGCAGCAGTCCAAGCCCAGATTTTGGCCAGTAAAGTTTAACTCCATGATACCTGATCTCTGCGGGGTTAAGACAGTCCAGCAGTCTATTCTTGGTGAAGCTATGCTCCTGTGACTGCAAGGCCAGCAAGCATCTTGGCTCCTGGGTTGACACGGTCGCCAGAAATGGACAAGGGAACAACAGGTGTGGAGGCAGGAAAAGTACAGTTTGAGGTTGCACAATGCCAACCTTGGAGGGGGCTCAGCTGTTAGCTATGGTGGCTAAGAGGGAGAGAGAACATCAGGAGCCAGAAGAAGGGGGTGGCATGGACACCCCACTTTCTGGACCCCCAATAGGAGAGCATCTTTGCAGCTCAGGGTTGAGTCGTGGGGTCCTGGGTGCTCTCTGAGCTGGGCGGCTGGCTTGCAGAGGTTTCATTTGTTAAACCAGGTTACATGATGAGTGATAGTTCTGAATTTCTGGGGCTGGATTTGAGTTCTTTGTGGCTCTGATCCAGCTGGGGAGAATCCCCAACCACTCTACCCAATGGTGTTTCCCAACCTTGGCAGTTGTAAGCAGTATGGACTTCAACTCCCAGAATTCCCCAGTCATAAGTGAAGGTCTACTTGTAGTGTGTGTGTGTGTGTGTGGATATGTATTGAATGTATATGTGCTGTCCATATCACAAACAGCAGCATATAAATTAAATAGATAATTAAGAATGCCAGCGTTCTCACAGATGCTTATCTCTTCTTTTCGTATCCAGGAATATTTTCCCTTCCAACTTGGTGACTGCTGCATTCCGATCGGTGAGTTCATTCGTTCTTTCTTTCTTTCTCCTTTCCTTTCTTTTTTTTCTTTCTTTCTTTCTCCTTTCTTCTTTTTTCTTTTTCTTTCTCTCTCTCCCTCTTTCTTTCTTTCTTTCTTTCTTTCTTTCTCTTTTCTTTCTTTCTTTCTTTCTTATCTGAATTCTCATTTCCATTTGAGTTTTCACCTGTTTTAATCTAGAGTTTTATTTAGATATTACTATGATTTTACATAGTGATGTTGTAAACTGCCCAGAGTCGGTTAGGTGAGATGGGTGATGGAGAGACGTAATCAGTAGACGAATAAATTAAAAATAATAAATGAACCTGTAGCAAAGGGTTGTGCGAAAGAGGAAAAAGGACTCGTGTGGCAACAGCTGCTCTGATGTTCTGGGGCTGGGACTGAGACAAAAAGATATCCTGTTATTTGAGCCGATCCCGTTCAGACGCTCTGTGGAAAGAACTAAATTGGGGGCTGTCACCACATCTTATGACGGCAGCACAGGCTGCCTCTGTGACCCCGGGTGACTTATTAACGTGGCCTTTCCTGAAGAAAAGAGTTACCTGGAAGTGTTAGTCAGAGGTTTTCCGAAGCCTCTTCTCCAGAAAAAGTAGGAGGATGAGAAAAATCTCCCTTTGGCCATCGAGATGGTCCGGGACAGTTAATTGAGGATGTTTGTTTATCATATTTAGAGATCACCCATTTCCCTGATGGAGTGACCTGACGGTGGACAAACAGACATAAAAACCGCTACACATAACTATTGCAATAAAAAAGTCACAATCAAAAATAAAAGAGTTAAAAATTAAATTTAAATTCAAAATGCATCCAGAGACGAGGATTTCCTTACCCCTCTGTTTGGAGGAAGGATATCTAGCTAGCTATCTCTAGCTATCTATTTAACTAGCTAGCTATCTCTATCTAGGCTAGCTATCTAACTATTTCTAGCTATCTCTATCTATTTAACTACATCTCTCTCCCTCTCTCTCCCTCTCTATCTAGGCTATCTCTAACTATTTCTAGCTATCTGATTTATGTGTTGCTCATCTTGTCTAGAATGCAAGAGGGGAAAAAGCGCAGAGTTTCTGTTTTGACAGACAAGGGGGTGGGTGGGTCGATGGGCGGGGGAGATGTTGTTTTCCCCACGCTCTCAAAAACTGCTCAAGACCCCTCTATTGCCTAACCATTTAAAAATCTGACATCTCATCCTTTTTTTCTTTTTCTTTTTTTTGGTACACAGGTCAGTGAGTCAGTTTGGCTTAATTTTTAATAGCCGCGTTAAATTAAAAGGCCAATTTCTGGACCCCGGATGGACTTTTTGCTGACTGTAACAGTTTTGTCCTGGCATTAACTTCTCATTGTCCAAGCCCCTCCTGCCTTCTTAGTGGTGCAATCCTGTGTCCTTTCGAGAGATAAATATGCTGGTTGGTTTTGCTTTTCGTTAAAGGCAGAAACGACAAATGGTTTATCTCTTTTTCTTCCTTCCATCCCAGAAACCAACGCAAAGTGGCAAAGGAGATTTTTTTTTTCTTTCTTGGCACCGATTAGTTGGGCAAAGCTTTTGTCTGTCAGTTTGTGTAAATTCCAAGCCTGAATCAACAAAGGCAACTTTGCTCAAAGGAGTGGTGGCTTTATTTTTTTATCCAGATATTATGTGGTGTGGGCCTCCTGCCCTGGGCATATTGGGTCTTGTGAGGGCATGCGGTTGGCACAACAAGAGTCACCAGGAAAGATCTGCCCATTCATGATATAGTTGCCGGGGTGTGTCTCTCCCATCCCCAAATCCTGTTTCCTGGAGAAAGCGCAGCGAAAACAAGAAAATCTGTTGTGTTTTCCTTCTTAGTATGCAACCGTCTATGAAGAAGACAAGAAGCAGAACAACACGGGTCTCGTCAGTGTGGCAGAATTTATGAATGAAACCGAATCCACGAACAAGGCAGTTCTGATGGTAAAAAAAAACACCCCAAGAATGTTGTGCAGGGGTCCCCAACCCCGGGCTGCGTCCCACTACTGGGCCAAGGCCGATTTGGAAACTGGCCACGTGAGTGGGTTCATCTTGACTTGCACAAGTGGTGGGCCAGCGCCCGTTGACATGAATGTGCAGGTCAACTTGTGTTGTGGCCTGTTGGCCGCCGGCCCCTCCAGCAACCAAAGAGGAGGAGGAGGAGGCCATGTGGGAGTCAGGGTCAGCCTCAAGGCAACCCGAGAGCTCCGAGGGGGAAGAGGGAATGGAGCTGGCAGAGAGAGAGAACAAGAGAGAGAGAGAGAGAGGGAGGGAGGGAGGGAGAGAGAGGGGCGGAGCCTGGGCCGTCCATCAACCCTCATATGGGGAGTCAACAGCCCCCAGGTCTGGAGGTGGCTGATGAGGAAGAGGAGGAACAGCTGGGTCCAGTGCCTGAGAGAAGGCAGAGGAGAGGAGAGCAGTGGAAATCAATGGGCCGGTCCTTGGGACGGAAGAGCTACCACTACTAGCAAGGCCCCATCCTAGCTCCAGGGATAAAAGTCAGGGGGCGGAGATGAATAGGTGTGGCAGACAACTATTCATCTCCTGGCCAGACGAATTTGTTAGCCTGCGGTGAGAGAGAAACTTTTTGTTGGGGCTGCTGGCGCTCCTAATAAAGGAAACTTGTAGTTCATTTCAGAGGGTTTGTCGTGTTTGGGGAGCTGGGTGAGGACAACTTGCTTGGGTGGGAGATTGGACTAGATGACCTATAAAGTCCCTTCCAACTCCGTTAATCTGTTAAAATAAGTCGAGCAGTGAGCACATGGCTGGCTCAGGAATCCTGGGAGTTGAAGTCCACGAGTCCTAAAGGGTCCATCGTTCCCCGCCTCCGGTTTTCGGGCTGCGCTGATGGTTTTCTCTCTTCTGCAACCAGGAGCCCGTGGGCAAGGAGGTGGAAGGCATGAACATCCTCGGCCTGGTGGTCTTCGCCATCGTCTTTGGGATTGCCCTGAGGAAGCTTGGGCCCGAAGGGGAGAACCTGATCAAGTTCTTCAACTCCTTCAACGAAGCCACCATGATCCTGGTTTCTTGGATTATGTGGTAAGGATACTGCTCATATGGACCTTCTTCCGGGCCACAAAAATCGTGAGTCAAAGCCCCTTTTGAGGCCCTGAATTCAGGGTTTGGGACCCTTTCCTGCTCAAATCTGGGTAATTCCAGTGCTGGTTGACTGTTGTGGCCTGTCGACCACCAGCCCCTTCAGCAGCTGAATCAGAGGAGGAGGAAGAGGCCATGTGGGAGTCAGGGTCAGCATCAAGGCAACCTGAGAGCTCCAAGGGGGAAGAGGGAATGGAGCTGGCAGAGAGAGAGAGACAGAGAGTCTGGGCCATCCGTTAGCCCTCAGATGGAGAGTCAACAGCCCCCAGATCTGGAGGTGGCTGATGAGGAAGAGGAGGAACAGCTGGGTCCAGTGCCTGATAGAAGGCAGAGGAGAGGAGAGCAGTGGAGATCTATGGGCTGGTCCTTGGGATGGAAGAGCCACCGCTGCTAGTGAAGCCCCACCCTAGCTCTGGGGATAAAAGGCAGAGGGTGGAGATGAATAGATGTGGCAGACAACTATTCATCTTCCAGCTGGACAGACCTGTTAGCCTGCAGTGAGAGAGAAAGTTTTTGCCGGAGCTGCTGGCGCTCCTAATAAAGGAATCTTATGAGTTCACATCAGGGGGTTTGACGCTGGAAGCCTTTGCAACTGTACGCCTTCTTGCCATCTTCTGTATTCTTTGATGCAGGAGAGGGGTCCAATCCTGGCCCCTCTCATCCCTTTGAGTTCTGAAATGGGGCTGGGTGGTTTTTGCCTGCAGCCAGATGGACTAGAAACTTGAGGTGGGGTTTGGTTGTTTGATCGAGTTTCTATAATCTTGCGAAACTTTCTTGGACTAAGAATTAGGGCCTAATCCCAGTTTATCCAGAGGCTGAATTTGCTTGTTTCCCCACTGTTGACTGAATAATTAGTTAGCCTGCAATTAGGTGGGTTGACTCAGTCCCTTAATCCAGCCCTTCCCAATCTCCAGAGCAGTGTTTCTCAACCTTGGTAGCTTGAAGATGGATGGAAGTCCACCCATCTTCAAGCTACCAAGGTTGAGAAACACTGCTTCAGAGGGACCAGGAGTTTCTAGCAAGGTTAACAAATCTTGGCCAAAACTGTAATCATGGTTTGCAGTCTGTATTCCCACAAGACACTAAGCCCAAACAAGCCACTTTACAACCCAGCATTTTGTGAGGCAACCAAGCCAGCAAATATTGCAGTTGGGGTCTGGCTATATCCTAGCGTAGTATAAGTAGTCCTCAACTTAGAACGGTTCATTTAGTGACTGAAGTTACAATAGCACTGAAAAAAGCATCTTATAACCGTTTTTCACACTTACGACGGTTGCAGCATCCCCATGGTCCTGTGATCAAAATCCAGATACTTGGCAACTGGCTCACATTTAATGTCCCAGGGTCTTTTCAAATTAGGGTTAAAACTCAATTAAATTTAAAAACTATTTCCATGTCTATGCTGCCCCACCTCATGGTCAAATGACAAAAATACAAAAACGTTAAACGTTCAAAATGAACAAAAAAATTGGGTGATTTTTGTTAGTTAAAAAATTAACCAAAATTGGGTTTCCTGTCTCTGGGCAGAATTGCAAGGTGGGTTACAGCCATGGCCCCCAACTTTTTGGGTACCGGAGACCGGTTCCGTGTAGAAAGATTTATCCAGGGACTGGAGGGGTCGTGGTTTGGCGTGTTGCTGGCATCCCACGGATGGGGCTTTGCTTCTTCGCACGACCTGGTTTCTGACATGCCGTGGCCCGGTGCTGGAAGTTGGGAACCCCTGGGTCACGGACTGGAAGTTGGGAACCCCTGGGTTACAGTTGACGGCCCCAGCTTCCTTCCCTCCAGCCCTGGACCTCTGACCTGGGACTGGCTCTCCAGCTGGGCTGACAGCCTCTTCTCCTCGCCAGGTATGCTCCCTTGGGTATCATGTTTCTGGTGGCCGGCAAGATCGTGGAGATGGAAGACGTGGTCCTTCTCTTCACCAGCCTGGGCAAATACATCTGCTGCTGCCTGGTGGGCCACGCCATCCACGGGCTGCTGGTTCTCCCAGGGATCTACTTCGTCTTAACCCGCCGGAACCCCTACCGCTTCCTGTGGGGCATCTTCACTCCCTTGGCCACCGCCTTCGGGACATCCTCCAGGTATTCAAAGACCAGCAGAAGGGCAGGAGGTGGGTGGGATGGATAGAGAACCATACAAGAAGATGTATGTTTGGGATGCAGGCTTCACGTCAAGACCCACAGAAGGGAATATTTGTAGCTTGGGGTTGAACTGTGGGGTCCGTGAGGCTCTCTGAGCTTGGGTGTTTTCTTGCAGATGTTTCATGACCCGACTAGGTAACATTATCAGTGCTAGAAGGGGAGGATTGTGGACAGGAGAAGGAGGGAGGAAATGTCTGTTCTTGCAGACATTTCATGACCCAACTAGGTAACAGTGTCAGAAAGGAGTGGAGTTTGGAGGGAGGAGGAAGACGACAACAACTGTGGGGTCCTTGGTGCTCTCTGAGCTTGAGGGTTTTCTTGCAGACATTTCATGACCCAACTATATAACATCATCAGAGCTAGAAGGGAGTGGAAGTTGCTCTCTAGGGCAAGCAACTTGTAAATAAATAGAGAGCAAACCTTTCTCCTTTCTAGCACTGATGGTGTTATATATCCCCAGAATTAGCTCACGTCGGCTTTCTGGCGTCCAGGCAGATGCTAATAAAAACGCGATAGCTTCAATTGGGTGCTACTGCAGCCACCATCTTGCCTTCTTTGAACACCCCATGAACACCCCAATGTGCTTTGCGTCCTTGGGGTGACCTTGAAGGCCTGCTTTGAGTCGATTTAGAGCATGTAGGTGCCCCTGTTGAGGAGAACGTCCTGTTTTCTCCAGGAAGATCACTGAATCTGCTATCCTGGATGAATCCGGGGGGGGTCCCAGATGTTGATTGGGTGCTCAAGAACAGATTATGGGGAGGGATGTTTTGAAGGCAGGATGAGGTGGCAGGTCCTTCAGATACCCAAAGGAACATCTCCGGAGGCCTTGATGGCCCATTCCATCCCTGTGGCTTCCTCTCCACAGCTCCGCCACGTTGCCCCTGATGATGAAGTGCGTCGAGGAGAACAACGGCGTCTCCAAACACATCAGCCGCTTCATCCTGCCCATCGGGGCCACCGTCAACATGGACGGGGCGGCCCTGTTCCAGTGCGTGGCCGCTGTCTTCATCGCCCAGCTCAACAACGTCTCCCTCAACTTCATCCAAGTCATCACGATCCTGTGAGTATTGTTAAAGCTACATAGAGCGAAGTCAAGAGTTTGTTTTTGCAAGAGTTTATGGCTTTCTGGACCAAGTTCATCCAAGATCAGATGTTAACTTTAGTCTAATACTGTATTTCTCGACCTTGGCAGCTTTAAGATATGTGGACTTCAACACCCAGAATTCGCTGGGGAATTCTGGGAGTTGAAATCCACATATCTTAAAGCTGCCTAGGTTGAGAATCACTGCTTTAACTCATCACAGGAATCTTACTCATAACTACGATGCAATCGGTGATGATTCAAATCAACATGGTTAGAAACAAACCATGATTACATGGTTGTGTAAGCAAGCCCTGATGTTCCCCCGTTTAAAATTATTCATATCTTGTGACTTCTCCAAACCTTGCAATATTCTGGAAAGTTTATCAAGAAGAGATGATGAAACTCCGGACAATCAAATGGGCAACCTATACATTTAATAAAATATACCATACTTTTTGAACTATAAAACGCACCTAAATTTAGAAGAGGAAAACAACAAAAAAAAGTTTTTGGCCTCCTTTTTTCGGGCCTTTTTTCAGCCCTTTTCCAGCCTTTTTTTCGGTCTGTTTTCTAGGCTTTTTCCAGCCCATTTGTGAGGCTTTTTCTGGCCTGTTTTCGGCCGAAAAAATTCTCAAAAACGGGCCAAAAAAAGCCCTGAAAATGGGCCAAGAAAGCTTCGAAAATGGGCTGAAAAAAGGCCCGAAAAAGCCTTGAAAATGGGCTGGAAAAAAACCCTGAAAACGGGCTGGAAAAGGGCTGAAAAGTGCCTTGAAAATGGGCTGAGAAAAGCCTCACAAACAGGCTAAAAAAAGCCTTTAAAGGGCTGAAAAAAGCCTTGAAACGGGCTGAAAAAAAACTTTGAAACGGGCTGAAAAAAGCCCTGAAAACGGGCCTGAAAAAGGCCCGAAAACGGGACATGTGGAGGCTAAAAAACAGCCAGCGGCAACATTCAGTCTATAAAATGCACAGACATTTTCACCCCCTTTTGGGAGAAAAAAAAGTGTGTCTTATAGTCCGAAAAATACAATAATAATACCTCTTTAAACAATTGGGGAGGTTGGAGCTGTCCTTCCAAAGAATCTCGGCTGCTTGTTTCTCTCCGTGAGAAATGAGTCCGATATTAAAATTTTAATGGGCTGTAATCCTGTCGGCAGAAACAGAGTCATGAGGATCCCCCAGAAACAAAGGAGAAATTCATAAGTAGAGGTTGCTTCGGGACACGTGGTGATGGAAAGACACATTCCCCACCCACCCCAAAATAAAATAGTTTCTTGGAATAGGAGCCTGAGTGGCGTAGGAGGCTAATGCCTCCTACTGAGGCAGTATTTAACATCCAGCTGCCTGCAATTACTGCGAGTTCGAATCTCACCAGGCTCAAGGTCGACTCAGCCTTCCATCCTTTCTAACATAGGTAAAATGAGGACCCGGATTGTGGGGGCAATAAGCTGACTTTGTATAAAATATACAAAAGTATGAAGGCTATTGCTTAGCGCATTGTAAGCTGCCCTGAGTCTCCGGAGAAGGGCGGCATATAAATCAAATTAAAATAAAAATAAAAATAGCAGACTTTAATTAGACACGTTGAAATCACAGGATCTGGAGAAATTCAGGATGGAACCTCAAAGGCTGAAATTTGGTGGAAAAAAGGTCCCAACTAGAAAAAAGGCGGCCACCCAGTTAAAATTAAATAGTAGTTATTTTTCTTCTCCTACAGAATGGCCTCCTCCAGCCTCTTGCAAAGGCTGCCAGCGGTGTCTTTCATACCTGATGCTAAATCAGGTGTTCTGACTCGGCTCCCCAAACATGAGAAACCTTCTGAAGTTAGCTCAAAGATTCCTTTATTAGGAGCGCCAGAAGCCCCAGCAAAAGGTTTCTCTCTCAGGCTAACAAGTCCGTCCGGCTGGAAGATGAATAGTTGTCTGCCACATCTCTTCATCTCTGCTCCCTGCCTTTTATCCCCAGAGCTAGGGTGGGGCTTCGCTAGCAGCAGTGGCTCTTCCGTCCCAAGGACCAGCCCATAGATTTCCACTGCTCTCCTCTCCTCTGCCTTCTATGCATCCACATGTCAGGCACTGGGACCAGCTGTTCCTCCTCCTCCTCACCAGCCACCTCCAGACCTGAGGGCTGTTGACTCTCCATCGGAGGGTTGACGGACGGCCCAGACTCTGCCTCTGTCTCTCTCTCTCTCTGCCAGCTCCATTCCCTCTTCCCCCTCGGAGCTCCCAGGTTGCCTTAATGCTGGCCCTGACTCCCACATGGCCTCCTCTGATTCGGCTGCTGGAGGGGCCGGCAGCCAACAGGTTCACATAACTTGAGACCTGCTGAAGAAGCACAACTGGCCAAGTTCATAAGTAGTCCTCCGAGCACACCTGGCTGGCTTCCCGCCACTCGCTTTCTTGTTTTTTCATTTGAAGACGTGTTTCACTTCTCATCCAAGAAGCTTCTTCCTCTCGGACTGGATGGTGGGGAATGGAAGGATTTATACTCCTTGCAGAGGGCTGATCATTTGCATCCTTTTAGAGCAGGGGTCTCCAACCTTGGCAACTTTAAAACTTGTGGACTACAACTCCCAGAATTCTTCAGCCAGCAAAGCTGAAGTCTTAAAGTTGCCAAGGTTGGAGACCCCTTAGAGCAGTGTTTCTCAACCTTGGTAGCTTGAAGATGGGTGGACTTCAACTCCCAGAATCCCCCAGCCAGCAAAGCTGAAGTCTTAAAGTTGCCAAGGTTGGAGACCCCTTAGAGCAGTGTTTCTCAACTTTGGTAGCTTGAAGATGGGTGGACTTCAACTCCCAGAGGGGGATTCTGGGAGTTGAAGTCCACCCATCTTCAAGCTTCCAAAGTTGAGAAACACTGCCTTAGAGGGTCACTGAAGCACTTGGAGGCTTGAATGATGCTCCTCATTCCTGTAATGTGCAATTTTACCTCTGGAAATCCATTCCCACAGTATTCCAAGGGTCTTCATTCCAAATTGTATAGCTAAAAGTTCAGATCTTCATTTCTTGGAAGACGAAGGTGTGAGGTTAGGGGGTCGGTAGGGGTGGTAAACACTCAACCAAGACCTGCCCCAAAGCCTAAATGTCTAAACCTTCTTCTCTGCCCTTCTTGGTTTCAACCACAGCATCACAGCGACGGCGTCCAGTGTGGGAGCAGCTGGGATTCCCGCGGGGGGCGTCCTCACCCTGGCCATCATCCTGGAGGCTATTAGCTTGCCCACCAAAGAGATCTCGCTCATCCTGGCGGTGGATTGGCTTGTGTAAGTATGGCCGGCGAGCTGGGCAACAGCCCATGATCAGGAACTAACCAGGATTCCCTAGTGGCTACCTCCTCTATGGTTCCAGGCTGGTGGAACCATAGAGGAGCTGGTCCAGCTGGTCCAAGGGATTACAGGTAGTCCTCGACGTACGACCACAATTGACCCCAAAATTTTTACCAAGTGGGACAGTTGTGAGTTTTGGCTTGTTTTACGACCTTTCTCGCCACAGTCGTTAAGTGAATCTGGCTTCCCCGTCGACTTTGCTTGTCAGATCGCAAAAGGGGAACACATAACCCCCCCCCCCCCCCCCGGACACTCTGACCGTCATAAATACGAGTTGGTTGCCAAGCGTCCAAATTTTGATTACACGACTGTGGGGGATGCTGAAATGGTCATAAGTGTGAAAAACAGTTGTAAGTCGGCTTTTTCCGGTGATGTAACTTCGCACGGTCACTAAATGAACTGTTTGTAAGTTGAGAATTACCTGCACTTTCTTCTTGAGTTCTGCAAGGAAAGTGAAGTGTAGGAGGGGTCTTTTGGGGGGGGGGGTAGATTCCGGAGGGCAGATCATGAGAAGAATCCGGACTTGGTCTTGGGGCTTTCCAGAGATCCTTGTTCTCTGCAATCCTTCACAAGTCGTAATGTGAGATTTGGGACTTTCTATTTGCAAGGCCTCTTTGCCTCTGAGTGAGGGGTGGGCAGCTATGGCCCCTTTCCGACCTCTGGACTGTCGGAAAGGGGTCATTGCTGCCCCCCCCTCCTGCTCTGACCTTTGGATATAATCTGGAAAGAGGACTTAAAGTTCCTTGTCCAGCTGCCCTTTGGATTCTTGTTGTGTTTGTGTGTAAATTGTGTAATGAAAGGGAGGGGAGGGGTCTCCAACAGGCTCTTCTGGTGCAGCTGGAGGAACCGGGTGGTGGAGTTGAGGGAGGCCGTCCCTGGGAGATTGGAGTGAAGGTTAAGGCAGCCTTAGGAAGTTCGTTCTTTTTCTTCCCAATGGGAGAAGGAACCTGTACAAGAAGTCCTCGACATACGACCGTTCTCATAGCGACCGTTTGAAGTTACGGCAGGGCTCCCCATTAGAACTCTCACCTGGTTCTGAAGTTCTATTGGCTGCCAGGTGCACGGGTGACCGGTTTTGTGACGGACAATCTTTGTTAGGGTTATAAGTGGAAGACTGATTGCAGACAGCCGAACATGAAACCTTGGCTGCATTAGAGCAAAGGTCTGTGGTAGCAATCATGACGGACCTGATAAAAGAGAATATTTGTAACTCAGAGTTGAGACGCGGGATCCCTGGAGCTCTCTAAGCATGGTGGTTTCCTTGCAGACGTTTCATGACCCAACTAGGTAACATCATCTGGGCTAGAAGGCTGCGTGGTTTGTGGAAAGCAGGAGGAGGAGGAGGAAGGGAAGTACTGTGTGATCCTTGGTGCTCTCTGAGCTGTCTTCTAGACATTTCATTACCCAACCAGGTAACATTGTCAATGCTAGAAGGGCGTGGGGTTTGCAGGGAAGAGGAGGAGGAGGAGGGGAAATACTGTGGGTTCCTCTCTGAGCTTTCTTCTAGACATTTCCCTACCCAACTAGGGAACATCATCAGTGCAACCCACTCTCTTATAGCACTGATGATGTTCCCTAGTTGGGTCATGAAACATCTGCAAGAAAACCACCAAACTCAGAGAGCATCCAGGACCCCACAGTCCTCCTCCTCCTCCTCCTTTGCAAAACGCCCTCCTTTCTCACACTGATGATGTTCGCTAGTTTGGTCATTAAGTGTCTGCAAGAAAACAACCAAGCTGAGAAAGTGCCAAGAACCCCACATGAGGGATCTTTCTGTGTCCTGTTCTAACTAAGGCAGTGGACTTTTTTGACCCTGGTTTTGTAGGTGAAGATGCTCTGAAGTGGGGGGGCTCCGCCTTTCCCCCCTGCTTCTCTCCACGGGATTATTTTGCATGCATTCTTACACCTGGTTCCTCCTTCTCCTCCCTTGCAGAGACCGGACGTGTACTGTCCTCAACGTGGAGGGCGATGCCTTCGGCGCAGGGCTCCTACAGGTCTACTCGGAGAAGAAAATGGGCCAGACAGGGAACGACGACCTGTTGGAGGTTAAGACGGAGGCCGTGGCGGCCAGCAAGGCAGAGGGCGTAGAGGAGGGGTCCCCGCTGATTAAGCAGAATGGTCCAGCCCATTTGGAGGCTAACAAATCTTGCGAAAAAGAATCCGTGATGTGATTGAACTCATCAAAATCCAGACGATTTAGGAGAAGATATTCTTTTTATCCAAAAAAAAAAAAATTTTTTTTTTAGAACTTTTCTCCAAAAAAGGAACTTAGAACTTTTTTTTTCCAAAAAAGAACTATAAAAGACACAATTTTGGTCCGTCTCTCAAGATCGGAATTTCCCAGGTGACAGGAGATTTAATAACGGAGAGCTTTCCTACGGAGAATTTGCTGTAAACACAGCCTTCCCACTCCCCCGTTTCTTCTCTGAACTTCACGCAATTCGTAGATTTGGAAATTTCAATGCCAACAAACGCTGTGGGATCATCACTCCATTTATCCCAAATTTTTCTCCCTAGTTCTGGTGACGGTTGTCAAAATTCAGCAGCAAGGGAACGTCTGCTGTTGCAAATCCAGAAGTTTCTCTTCGGCGACATTCAGTTCAAAGAAACGAAGAAAAAATTCAGCGAACGAATCAACCTATCCAGATCACTCAGTCATCCTTTTGTTGTTTTCTCTTTCATGTGCAATTTTCTCTGCATTTATTTTTATATTTTGGACCAAGCCGGCAGAAAGAGTCTTCAGTTTTATATTTTATTTCTCGTTGTTTGTTTTCCTTCCATTCTTTACTTGACGTTCTCTGGCCTGTCAGGCCAGAAGGACGAGAAATGAACTGGGTTAAATCTTAATTCCGTTGATGGGTTGTTGTTTTTTTCCAAATCCAAAAAGCTTGAATGTTATTTGCAAGGCAACCGACAGCCCTTGTAAATGCAGAAACTGGAGGGGAAGAGATTTTTAATGGCTATTTCTTATTTCCGTTTCGTATAACACTCCATGTGCTGACACGGGGACCTACGGATGAACTTTTCACTGCCTTTCGACATGGCCAACTTCGTTTAACCGTCTTCCCCTCAGCCCGTACTTTTTATTTCTGTTGATGATTGTCCTTTTGTTTTAGGATGGGAACGGCTGATTTGCGTCGTAATTTATTTCTGAAAGGGGGGACTGTTTCGGTTTCGCAGCAGAAATACGGGAAAGGAATCGGTTCTGAAATTTTAATGGAGCACCCAAAGGTTCTCTCCTCTTGTGGTTCTTCGTAAATCGATATTCCAGGGTTGTTGTTTTTTTGTGCCAAACAGGTTGAAAGACTTTAAACTTTGCTGCAAGGGGTTGGCAGCTGGCAGCCTCATGCTCAGGTCTGCCCAAGTTTTGTGACCAGCTTTTATACACGTAGATGGAGCAAGATAGGAAGGGGAGGAAATAGCAGCCAAATGTTCAGATTCCGATAGGATAGAGATCGCTATTCCTCCAGTAGTTGTGTTTGTGGGGCAGTGTATCCCCCCCATGCAGGTAATCCTCGATTTACCACCACAATTGAGCTTAAAATTTCTGTTGCTAAGCGAGACAGCAGTCAAATGAGTTTTGCCCCATGTTTTACACCCTCTCTTGCCACAAGTTGACAAGTTGGTCAGTCGGTTGTTAAGTGAAACTGGCTTTCCCAATGACTTCGCTTGTCAGAAGGCCGAAAAGAGGATCACGGGACACCGCCACCGTCGTAAATGTGAGTCGGTTGCTGTAAGTGAAAAATCTGTATAAGTCCGGGGTTTTTTTGTGTATCATTGTACCAAAAATGAATAGTCATTCATGAAAGGTGGTAAGTTGAGGATTACCTGTATTTGCAGAAGAAAATGGGCATTGTCTGGCACCATTGTACACACAGGGTATAAATGGCTTAGATCAGGGGTCTCCAACCTTGGCAACTTTCAGACTTGTGGACTTTAACTCCCAGAGTTCCTCAGCCAGCAAAGCTGGCTGAGGAACTCTGGGAGTTGAAGTCCACAAGTCTGAAAGTTGCCAAGGTTGGAGACCCCTGGGCTACAGTCTCAGAGCTAGGCACGGTACAAAACCATGTAAATAAAGAATTGGAGCCAATCTTTTGCACGTGTGTAACAGCTGCCTCTGGGCGATGCGATCTGAGCATTGGAAGGGCACCCCAAGGGCAAATGGCCGCTCTGCCAGGCCTTGGCAAGGTGCATTGTGCATCACAAGTTCTCTGAAATTTTGGAGCGATCAGTCAGGGTTTGGGCTGTGCTGCAAGAAGACCAGACAAAAAAAGAGGGGCTGCTGTGTCGGGTGGTCCCGCTTGGCGAGAGTTTTGGAGAAAAACGGGAGAATTTGGGTCTAGTTTTGTGAGCCCGGGATCTGTGACTTACTCCCATGTTTGTGTGTGAATGTGAGTCCTTGTTTTATGTAGCTGGAAAATCCGGGGCGATGGGTTTTTTTTGTTTGTTTTTTGTTTCCCCAGGATGGGTGGACACTCCCATGTGCAACGGAGCAGGAACTGGTCAAACTGGTTTTTTTTTTTTTACTGGCCAACTAATAATGCATTTGCACCCGGCACTTGGCTGGGCTTTACCGAAATGATTACATTGAAGAGGGCTGTCAGCTGCCCCATCGCACAGAATAAAAGCTGCATTTGGGATTTTAGCGAGCGTTTTGTCTTTTGTTTTGCAATAAACGGGGGGGGGGTGCTTCTCTGGCTGAGGCCGTGAGCAGGTGGGTTCCTATCACAGGATTCTGGTCATTAATGCTCAGATATGTTAACTAGGCAGCCGCTATTGGTGCGTCGCCTGCTGGGTCACGCTCGCCCACGCTTTTCGGAGGCAGAGGTTTCTGTAGAATCTCGCCCTTTTCGAACCTGGGCATCCGTGGTTCCTGCCAGTCCTCTGCTCTATCCCGCATTCTGGAGAGTTTTCCTCTTTTTTTGAAAAAAAAGCAATGTTATTGAACATTTCAGTTGAAAAGATGAGAACTCGTGCCAGCTGAAAAAAGGAACAGAAAAAATAGTGCAGAAAACAAAAATATATATAGTTAAAAGAGGAAAAATACATAAAGAAACGGCTTCCCCCTTCATCACAACAAGTATGAACACATTTTTTTTAAAAAAAAATGATTTATATGCCGCCCTTCTCCGGGGACTCAGGGCGGCTTACAATGCGTTAAGCAATAGCCTTCATACTTTTGTATATTTATACAAAGTCAGCTTATTGCCCCCACAAACTGGGTCCTCAATTTACCTACCTTTGAAAGGATGAAAGACTGAGTCAACCTTGAGCCTGGCGAGATTTGAACCTGCAGTAATTGCAGGCAGCTGGTGTTAATCACAATGCTATCAGTCTGCTGAGCCACCAGGCCCATTTAGGGAACTTAATATCACCTCTTAAAATAAAGAAATGACCTCTTCTTCTCAAATCTCTCTTTTTTTTAAATCTATAAACAAATCCTTAAAAGCCAATCTTGATGCCAGGAAAAGTCCATGAAATGTTGCTGGAGATAATATATTTATTTTAAACTTGATCAAATAAACCAACTTTATATTCATTAAGTCCTTAATATTAGTCCTTAAAAGTTCCTTTTGCTAAGGATTGAAGAAACTCATCTGAGCAATTAAACTTGCCGTCTGAAGGTTCCAAATATCCGAAAAACAGTTAAGCAATTTCCAAAAGATAATAAAAAAGGAAGTATGCAGCAGTGTCAAACCTGGTTTGAGTAGGTTAGCTTATTCCCTCATCTCCCAGAGCACTAAACCCGTAACAGACCGCTTTTTTGTGGTCTCCTTGGGAGGAGCAACTGTTTGGAGTACATGTGGGCGATCTCAAGCTCTCTCCCTTGTCCAGAGAGGAATCCTGAAGAGTCAAATCCCTCCATCATTCCTTTATCATGATTGCCTGCTCGGTTGTGAGTTTTTCATGTATGGCATTTGGGGTTACAGAAAGGCAACTCGAGAGAGATCTTTCTGATGTAAAACCAAGCAAATTTTCCATATTGCTGGGGCTCAGCTGCAGCTCCTTGCCTGCCTACCTTCCTTCCCCAGCAGCTGAAGGGCAGGAAGTCTGAGAAACTGGCAGGTTGCCTGCCTGTTCGTGACAACAAAATGCAAGGCTTTGAGGCACAGGGAAAAACCATCATTGTCTTAGCTTGCCCCTCCTGACGCTTGTAGGGAAGGCATGCGTAGGTAGCAAGGAAGGGAACCTGGAGTCCTGACAGCAGGTAGGAGATGTGGGCACACAGCCCTGGCACTTTGCCCTGTGGCAGTGTTTGTTTTTCTCAGAAAACGGATCTGGACAAGGAGGAAGAGGGCCTCGATTTGGCAAAGGCCCATAAGGCACTATTGTTTCCAAACAATCTGGGTCTATTTCTCTCAAGGATCTTCCAACCCAGGCTGGGTCAAGGCAAGGGGACACCTGGCAGGGATTTCAGGAACACAGCTTTAACATTAACAGAGTTGGAAGGGACCTTGTAGGTCATCTAGTCCAACCCCCTACCCAAGCAGGAGACTACACCACGTCTGACAGATGGCAGTCCGGTCTCTTCTTGAAAGCTTCCAGGGATGAAGCTCCCACAACTTCTGAAGCTTGAAGGATAAAATTACAGAACCTTGAAAATCTATGCTAGTTTCTTCCTGTTTCCAGTTATACTAAATAACGTCGAGACACGGTTATTTTCAGCCTTTTTTTTCCCCCTCACTTTTCATGCAATACATGAACGGTACAATCTCCAAGGCTCTCTACCGCTCTTTGCTGCCTTCCCCAAGAGATCAACTTTCCATTCCTTTATAATTGATCCTCGGAATCGGATCCTATCGCTATCTGACCTGCATCTCAAGTCCTGTGGCCAATTTGAGATGCTACATTTCTGAAGGTTCAGACCGAGAGCAGCCCAGAGGATCAAAAATAACTTTGCTCTGAGAGAGACGGAGGGACTAAATATAGGTAGTCCTCGCTTAACGACCAGTCGCTTAGCAACTGTCCAAAGTTACGACCGACCACCCCAGAAATATTTATGACCTGATTTTGAAGTTTCAATGGCTGCACACACACATGGGATTGCCTTCTGGGTGCCTGATAAATTTTCGGTCATTTGCAGAACCCCATAGTCACATGACCATAATTTTTGATGGTTTTTTTTTTTTTTATTTGATTTATATGCCGCCCTTCTCCGGAGACTCAGGGCGGCTTACAGTGTGTTAAGCAATAGCCTTCATCCTTTTGTATATTTATACAAAGTCAGCTTATTGCCCCCACAAACCGGGTCCTCATTTCACCTACCTTAGAAAGGATGGAAGGCTGAGTCAACCTTGAGCCTTGGAGAGATTCGAACCAGCAGAAATTGCATGCAGTTGGTCTTAATAACAGGGTGCCTTAGACCACTGTACTATCAAGACTCTTTTGCCAGTTTCCCACATTAATTTCCACTGTCTGGCAAAATAGGCCCCTTGAGGAAAATGGGTTTGCTTAACGACTGCCACAGAAAAGGTGACTTCAGAAATCAGGTATGGGCACATGGTGATCCACTGAATGACCACTATGGCTTGCGACTGTAAATCCAGGCTCAATTATGGCTGTAAGTTTGAGGACTACCTATAAAAGAAATACAATAATAAATCAAATTTCCCCAGAAGGGGAATTTTGATACCCTGAACCTCAAAAACAACACGCTAAAAAGCATAGGGCATCTTAATTGGATGGGTGGCTTCATTGAGCACTTATTTTTTTTATTTAGATTTGTATTGCCACCTATTTGCACATGGCAACTCAAGGCGACTTACAAGAATATAAAAACAATAAAACTCATAAAAGAGAGTTTTGAAAAGAGCAGCTCACTTACTCCTTCCAGCCCAATCTGGCATCTTTCTTGTTGCCAGCCATTAAAAACCAACAGGGTTTCCTCCAAAGCTAAATTCATCTGCCTCTTCCCTGCTTCCAAACTGCGCCCAGAAACTAAGCAAAATTGGGGCTTCTCCTGCTAGAGACTTAACTGGGAAGGATCGAGAACTCCATAACATTCCTGGCATTGCGTGACTCGTTCCAGTGCAGGATTTCCTGTGGGTTTCCCGGCAAGAATGATCCTTCAAGAATGATCCTTCAGGGTAGAAATTGGAATTAAATCCAGTTGGCTCTTCTTCAGCAGCTGCTGATCTCTGCTGGCAGGAACGTGGCATCGCAGCAGGCAGGATGGGTGATCGGAGAGGTTGTGTAGGGATAGCAACATTGCCACATAATCCTTTTCCTGCCTAGTGTGTTGAATAAACTTAAAACGGGGGGTCAGGAAATAAGCTGCATTTTTTCCTCCGATTTTGATTTCCCTCAGCTCATTTTCAGTTATTCCGTAAAGATCCGTACCCGGGTTGCAAAATTTCAGTGGATACCACCATGGTGGCACAGATAAGGAGCTGGAGATTTTCAAAATCTCACACCTTACAATAAAATGCGTTTGTACTCGGGTTGCAAAATTCAAGGGGACCCCAGCACCGCAGCGAAGATGAAGAGCTGGAAATCTCAAAAGTTTACGTCTTTCAGTAAAATGAAAAGGCTTCCAGACACTCTTGTGATTTTTTTTTTTTTTTTTTTAAAGACCAGGAGTTCGATTTTAATTTATATTTAAGAGCTGGAATAATTTTCTGCCTCTTAAGATTGTGGATGATCAGGAATCCTTTTTTCTTTTTCTTTTTTTCAAAACCCTACCCAATCCACTAGAAAGTCAGAGTGGCCAGATAAGATTGAGTTATTGCTAGATGGTTCCTGTTTTTGCAATTCTTCTGTCTGGTATGTGGGTAGAAGGCAGCTGCGGAAAACAGATGCTTTAATCAAAAATCTTCCTCCCACTGATGACTGCTCTTCACCAGGAATTCAAAGGCCCTTTGGAGGAGGAGTACAGTAAGCAGATCATCTTCCATTTGGATCATAATTGAGGCAGGAATTATGGTCATAAATCTCTGCGGTTGTGAAGTCAAGGCATCAGGTGACCGGTTTCGAACTTTTGACATTTGTTTCAGTAGTTTTTAACCAAATCTATTTTCCTCAATAGGCATTTTTGGGGTGGCCAGAAAGCATCCCAAAAAATCACAAATCACGTGGGATGCTGTAAATGGCTGAAAGTGAGCCAGTTGTCAAGCATCCAAAACATACCACATGGGTATGTATACATAGAGGTAGTCCTTGACTTACAACCACAATTGAGCCCAACAGCAATTCGAAGGATGACTGAAGGAGAGGGAGTCGCCTTTCCTTTCCATTTTTTCCTGAGCCTTGGACAAAGGTCCTGCCTGCTCTCGTGACCACTGACCAGGGAAAACAGGGTGCAGGTCCCTTCCCTGACATTCCTAGGACGACCGTCCTCCGCCTGGCACAGACTGGAGATTTACCGGCCAAGTTGGCATGAAATGTTTGGACACAATCCACCATAAATGCCAGGCAACTGCTTGGATGTGGCCATCTTTGGAGCAGCCTGACTTTTCTTAGCTCCTAGCTTTCTCTGGGAAAACTAAGGTCTGGTTTGCATCACTATGCCAATACTCTTCAAAACGTTTGGGGGAAGAGGTGGCTGAATCGGGGGCGAGTGTGTGTCTATGACAATTTGCCACGGGGCGATTTGCTGAAGAGCATGAGTTACTCTGATATCAAAAGAAAGGAATGATAATCACTGATATCACAATCATTAAAGGATGCAAAAGGAGGGACGAAAGGAAATCTGAATGACAAAAATTAAAATAACTGTTTATTAATTTAAATAACTGAATTGTTACATCGTCCTGCTGCAAGTTCTCCCACAGCGAGTTGGCTGTGATGAGTTGATTGTGGTGACTTGTCCCGTTCCGGAATCGGGGCATGTGTGCGTGTTTGTGTATCTGTCTATCATCTTTTTCCAGTCCAACAATCACCTTTGATCTTTTAGGCCACTTTGTGGAAGTCAGCGCCTACACCTGTTCTTCCAGATGCCCCCTGCCAAAACGAACAGCCGTCGGCCTCCCTTTTTCCTCTGCCCCAGCCCACCACCCCTATTTTAAAAGACAGCTGTCCTCTCTGGTGTTCGTTTTTTTTTTCTCTCTTTCAAATGCAACAATCACAGTTGAGCAGAGGCAGTCTCCCCATGAACACCAGCTGTCGAGGATAAAGAATGCCGGATTTTGGCTATCACGGTCTAGGAATGTGTGGCTTGCAAGCATCGAGTGATGGTTTTGGGGAGAAAAAAAAAGCAGGACAAACGGCCCTCTGGCCAGTGCTCTGACTCCTTCCAGTGTTGCAAACACCTCCCTGAGTTCTGAAGAGACGCTGAGGAACCCGCCATAGATGGGCCACCCCCCCCTTATACGCGGCAATGACTCTGGTCCCCAACTCATATCAAATGAAAGATTTTAGTTCGGGGAGACCTCTCGATCTCTCCCTTTGCAGCCGGGCCCGGGGTGGGCGTCCCCTTATCTCCTCGCATTCATGCTCTTCAGGGCCGGGTTTGGGTATTCTGGGTTTTCAATCACCCCTTTCCCAAATTTGAGCTCCAGGAAGCTGCGGTAATTGTTGGGCACCAAAGCCACGAAGCCGGCAAACTCGATGGGCACCAAGGGCTTTAAAAAATGCTCGGGAAATTCCACGTCTTGCCGATGGTCCATCCAGGTGTCCTTGGTCATCATGCCGTTCTTGGGGTAGAAGGGCCACAGGTCCACGTGCAAATGGTTGTGCTCACTGTACTGCACCCGGTAGAAGTCTCCCTCGATGGCCTTTTCCCACACAAAGCCCTTCTCGTCCACGATGGAACCCGACTCGGCGCTCCGGAGCAATTCGCAATTGGGAATATCTTCCAGGTAGATTCCCAGGTCCACGTCGTAATCCCAAGGGATGATGTCCTGGTGGCGGGCTGCCCCGAGGAGCGTTCCCCCCTCCAGCCAGTACCGCACCCCAGAGATTTCCAAGATGTTGATGACGTATTTGGTGGTTTCCCTCAGGGCCTTGAGGCAGCATGGTGGAGTCCAGCGGTTCTGGTAGAGGTATTCCGGCGTGTCGTCGTGGATGGTGCCAAAACACCGCGGCGTCTCCTTGCCGCATCCAAACCACTGCTGCTTGCCATCTTCCAGAATCACCTGCTTGATGCCAAAATCCCGGAAGAGCTGGAGCTGATTGGACTTGGCCAGGTTATCAGCTTTCCACTGGTTGTGGGAGGAGGTGAGCAGTGGCAGGTGAAAGGGAGAGAAGGGGTGGTCCAGGAGACGGATGGCCCATCCTCGCAGAGACGTCTGGATGAAGAGGGAGGTCAGCAGAGGTTTGGCCAGAGGCATGGAAAGGTTGAAGAGGCTCCTGGTGCGAAGGAGCACCACGGCTTTCCCCTTCAAGGCAGTGCAGAGCTTGGAGGCAGGAGGCGTCTCGCTGTACTCCGCGGTCCATTCCTTGAGATTGACCTTGAGGTTAAGGCACCGGAAGGGCAGCAGGGAGTGGACTGCAGCTGCCACCATCTCTACTTTCCCTTGGCTGCTCTTGAGTTCCTCCAGCATCTCCTCCAGCTGCGACGCAGAATCCACTCTCACCCCGTCGGGTACCAAGGCCACATACTCAGTCCTCACGTAATTCTCCGGCCTGGATATGTAGGCCGGATGAGCCGGGGAAGGTTTGAGGACGACCAGCTGGACGTTGGGCACCTTGGGAAGAAGCAAGGGAGGGTAAGGCAAGCTGTCGGCCACCACCAGGACAGGCAGCTCCGGGTCCTGCTTCAGGAAAGACTGCACCACGCTGGAGACGTAGTTCTCAAAATCTTCAAAGTCTCGGATGAGGACGGTGATGCCAGGGTGGAGAGGTCCCAGGTGCTGAGGGTAGCTGGGCTGGCCGTGGTCCCTGTGCCGCTGTAGGATCTGCTGCTGCAGCCTGGAGATGTAGTAGAGGATCAGCAGGTTAATGGCAATGGCGGCGGCCAAGATGCCCTGGCAGAAGGTGACCCGCATCTTGAAAGGTTAGGGTGGGGGTCGAGGGGTCCTGGCCTGTGGCCCGCAAAGGGTCCTGCAGCTCCAGTCTTGTCCATCCAATGTTAGTTCCTCTGGTAGGCAGAGAGAAACAGAAAGATAAATTAAAAAAAAACAAGGGATTTAGATTGTAGTCTACCTGGAGATTTTTAAATGTTGCCCCAAATTACACCAGAAGAAAAAATAACTCCATTTTCATGAGGCAGCTGGCATGGCGTTGTGGCAGAGATGCTGGCTGAGAAACCAGGCGGCAGGGAGTTCTAGTTCTGCCTTAGGCCGGGTGACTTTGGGCCGATCCCTCTCTCTCTTAGCCCAGCCCACCTCACAGGGTTGTTGCTGCCGGGAAAACAGGTGGAGGAGGAAGGGGTACAGGTAGTCCTTGACATACGACCACAAGTGAGGCCAGCATTTCCGTTGCTAAGCAAGGCAGCTCTTCCAATGAACGGCCAGGCGTTACAGCCTTTTTTGTGGCACGGTTGTTAAGTGAATCCAAGCCCGTCGGGAAGGCCGCAAACCCAGATCACGTGATCCAGGGTCACTGCAACCGTCCTAAATGTGGGCCAATCGCCAAAAGTTGGAACACAGTTGGGTATAAAAAAAAAACCGGTCAAAAGTCACTTTTTTCAGGGTCACGGTACCTTGGTAACCGTCGTTAAACGAATGGTTGTAAGTGGAGGACTACCTATACCCCTGTATTAGATGGATCTGACCCCATCCGTCTATGTGAAGTTAAATAATAATAATAATAATAATAATAATAATAATAATATATAAAATAATACAAATAACAGGTATTGACCGTCTTGAGCCCCTTTTTTGACCTCTGAAAAGCTCCTCGGGGGCCAAAGGCGGCGGATAAATCACTAGAATGGCGGGAGCGCCCTCTGCGTATGCTCAGAGGCCCCCTTTCCCCTTCCTGGCCAGGGCCGGCCTTTCCCCTCACCGCTGGGCCCTCCGTTGCCGGGGCAACGCCTGCTCCGCCCAAGCCCCGCCCCTCCCCAGGCCGGCCGGGCGGCCTCCCTCCCATCCCGCGGGGGGGGGGTGTCCCGCAGTGTCTCTGTGAGGGGGGTGGGGGTCCCCGTCCGCCTCCACGCGGGGCACTTACGCCTCCCCCGGCACCATAACGCCTCCCGCTTCAGAAAACCCGCTCATGGGGGGGGGACACGCGTGTCCGCGCGCCGTGAGAACGGGCTTCTATTTTCTCCCCCCCCATCTCAACCCTCAGCGTGGGCCGCTCCCGTCATCCTTTGCGCGGCCAGAGGCCTTCGCTCGCAGCAGCGCCTCCCAGCGGCGGACAGGCCGGCCCGCGATGCCCGCGAGACGGTCGCCATAGCAGCCGCGGGTCCCGCCTCCCCTCCCCTCCCCTGCCGCGCGCCTCAGGCCCACTTCCGGCGCGGCTCCCTCCGGGCCGGAAGTGCGGCCTGCCGGCGCGCGCGCACCCACCCCGTCCCTCCCGCCCCTCAGCCGCGCGCGCGCTCCCGTCCCCCTCGGCTCCGTCCGTCCTCCTCCTCCTCGTCCCGCGCCGGCCGGGCCCGCGATGTGGCAGCAGCCGCCGCCGCCGCCGCCCCCCCCGCCGCTGCTGTCGTCGCCCATGGAGGCCGAGCGGGCCCCGCCGGCCCGGACCCCGCCGCCCCCTCAGGCGCTTCAGGCCGCGGGGGGGAGACCAAGCGCCGCCGCCGCCGCCGCTGCTGCCGCCGCCGCCGAGCGGGGCCGCCGCCGCCGCTTCCACCCCGGGCAGCGGCGAGCGAGCCTGCCGGGCATCCTGCACTTCATCCAGCACGAGTGGGCGCGCTTCGAGGCCGAGAAGAGCCGCTGGGAGGCCGAGCGGGCCGAGCTGCAGGTGGGGCGCTGACCGGGCCGGGTGAGGGGGGGGGGAAGGCGACCCTGCCCGCCGCCATCTTCCTTGCGGGGACTGAGGGGGGAGGGGGAGGGGGGGGGGCGCTCCATCCCATAATAAGGCCTGTCAGCCCCCCTCCCCCCATATCCTCAGTCTGAGGGGGGGTTTCTCCCAGAGGCGCCCCTTTGCGTGTGTCGTTGTTGGGGGCTGCTGGGAGTTGTAGTCCCCCCCCAGGTGGGACCTCTTTGGAGAACCCCCCCCTTTGAAACTGGAGGGGGGGGTCTGACTCTGTAACCCTCCAGATGGCTCCTTGGTGAGTTTCAGGGACCCTCAAGCCCAGCATGCCTGAAACCCCCACCCCAACTAGCTTTGCAAATGTGGTGGGGTAGCCATTGCTGAGTGCCCCCCCCTCCTCCCCCACTTTGAGGTCCTCCCTGTCCTGTAGAAAGCTGAGTTGGAAATTGGGGGGATGTGAACCCCTCCCCCCTTGATGTGTGTGGGGGTTGGTGGTGCTGCAAGTTTGGGGTGCAGGAGGAGGTGGGCAGAGGTGAGACACTTAAGCCACCCACCCACCCCCCAAATGGGGCTTGGAATGAAAGCTTGGATCGCAGTGAAGTTTCTCCAGGGCCAGAAGTCCTCATGATTTCAAAGTAATAAATGCCGCCCAGGTCTGCATCCGGTTCGGCTTCCTTGATCTAGGTTGGATCGCGTCTGGGGAATGATTTTCTCCCATCCTTCTTCTCTGTTCGGTAAACTGAGGACCTGGATGCAAATAATGCTGATGTTGTAAACCACCCCAGAGATGCTCTCAAGCGCTGTGGGGTGGTATAGAAGCCTCAATGCTTATTGCTGTTTCTGTAAAAGATTAGAGATCACCATTTGCCCAGGATGGAATAAAGAAGGACGCCTGTCCCGGGACACGGGGTTGGACTAGATGGCCTCCGAGGTCCCTTCCAGCCCTGGGATTCTGTGAAGGTTGCCATACAGGAAAGGCGAGAACGAATTAGGGAGTCGAACAGCATCCCACAAAAAGGCGCATTGCAAACCACTTCTGCGCTATGGCCAAAAACACACCTGCTGTTTTAGCCTCCGTTGTGGTCACAATTCAGTGCCTGGTTGCCTGATATTTAGGCCATAAAGGGAGGAAGGGGAGAGTCATGCTAATATCAGTGAAGGATAACTTTATTTGAAGCTGTAGGTAGCCCAGGCACGGGGTGCTCTAAGTCCTGCTTTTGAAGACGGTTCATAGCACCGTCTCAGACAATTTGGTGTATCGGGTCTGTAAAAGAGTAAGAAATTATAATTGGTGTCTTGGGATCTGGTACTGGAATGACAGTGAAATATCCCATATTTAGCTGCCCCCCCCCAAAAAGCTGGCAATGGAGAGGGGTGCGTAGGGAAATGTTGCAGCCACCTACTCAGTAGCAGATCAGGGAAGTATTAAAAGAAAGGAGCATCTGTGCGAGGTAGGGAGAAAAGCTCATCCTTGTCACCCCAAACCGGGTTGGGAAGCAACGATCCCCCGGCTGCCATAGTGACGGTGGAGAATATAGAAGGCGTGTGGTGCTTCTATATCTCGGAGCCTGTACAAATATAGGAGTGGGTGTGATTGACTGAAGACTGGAGATAAGTATGGCACATGGACACTTGAGAGCAAGGAAGGATCGGTCTAGAGAAAGTGTTCTCCACAATCGGACGAGAAGCTAATCAAGGAAAGAAGCAACCTGGAATTAAGGAGAAACTTCCTAACAGGGAGGACAATTAACCAGTGGAACAGCTTGCCACAAGAATTTGTGGGTACTTCATCATTGGAGGAAGAGACTGGGCAGCCACTTGTCTGAAATGGTATAGTATCTCCTGCTTGGGCAGGGGGTTGGACTAGAAGACCTCCAAGGTCTCTTCCAGCTCTATTCTGGCAGTTTCAAAAGGTTCTAGGCCCTTTCAAAGGGTTTTGACTACAGGTAGTCCTTCACTTACAACCATTAGTTTAGTGATCCTTTAAAGTTACGACGGCAATGAAAAAAGTGACTTGGGACCGTTTTTCACATGTATGGCCATTGCAGCATCCCCGTGGTCATGTGATCAAAATTGAGACACTTGCCAACTGACTCGTGTTTATGACGGTTGTGATGTCCCGGGATCACGTGATCGATTCCCTTTTGCATCCTTCTGACAAGCAAAGTCAGTGGGGAGGCTGGATTCGCCAAACAATCGTTTGAATAACTGAACAACTGCAGAGATTCACTTAACAGTTTGGCAAGAAAGGGCGTTAAATGGAGCAAAACTCACTTAATGACCGTTTTGCTTCGGAACAAAAATTCTGGGTTCGGTTATGGGCCGTAAGTCGAGGGCTACCTGTATGTCTTGGTTGGTGGTGTGAACTCAGCCATCAGGGTTTCTGAAGCTGGGATTTCCGACGTGCTTTTCCTGGCGCCATTCCTTGCCCAGCGAGTTTTACCAGTCTGTTTGAAACAATAAAAAAAACCCTTGCACACACACTTTCTTGTCAGAGCTGGTAGGAGGCGGGTCCGTCCGTCCATGGTCAGCCATGATTTTTTTTTTTTATTTGATTTATATGCCGCCCTTCTCCGGAGACTCAGGGCGGCTTACAATGCGCTAAGCAATAGCCTTCATACTTTTGTATATTTATACAAAGTCAGCTTATTGCCCCCACAAACTGGGTCCTCATTTCACCTACCTTAGAAAGGATGGAAGGCTGAGTCAACCTTGAGCCTGGTGAGATTCGAACCTGCAGTAATTGCAGACAGCTGGTGTTAATCACAATGCTATCAGTCTGCTGAGCCACCAGGCCCACTGAAACGAAACTGCCACAATCGCCTCTTCAAGCCACCCTAATTCTAGTAAATAACACACCACCTCTCTTCCTTTCTGATGCTCTGGCTCCTGCCATGGAGTTTCTTCGCTGCAGCCGTTCTGGGAAGCCTGATTAAACTTTTAATTACATCCTCAGTGCAGCCTATAATCATTAACCCACGAAGCCAGTTTGCATGGCACCGAGGTGGCGATCAGATATCTGGTCGCATTCAGTGTGGATTTAGCCTGATGATGCCAGGGTTACTATTGGGAGCAAACCTTTGGTCTGGGCGAAATGCTTCTCGTAAGTCCCCTTCCCTTTGCACAATGATTTCATTTGTTCGTTTATTATAAATATATCTGCCGCTCTCCCGTCTGGTTGGCTGTCCCTTTCCGTCTGAAGAAGTGCCACCCCATCCAGAACCAATGAGGAAAGAACCCCAGATTTGGGTGGTCTTAAAACCTCTCGGTCCTGTTAGGGTCCATCCTAAACCTCTTCCTCCCCATCCAGACTGCCACAATCTCCAGGCACGAAACTTTTGAGACATCCCTTGGTCAGCCCAGAGTAGAAAGCTACAACTGGCTGTCCTTGGTATACTGAAATCTATGGAGATTCTCAGTCATCCAGGGCAGGGGTCTCCAACCTTGGCAACTTTACGACTTGTGGACTTCAGCTCCCAGAATTCCTCAGCCAACCTTGGCAATTCAAGTCTTAAAGTTGCCAAGGTTGGAGACCCCTTAGAGCAGTGTTTCTCAACCTTGGAAGCTTGAAGATGGGTGGACTTCAGCTCCCAGAAGTGCTGGCTGGGGGATTCTGGGAGTTGAAGTCCACCCATCTTCAAGCTACCACGGTTGAGAAACACTGCGTTAGAGGGTCGTTGAGGCCATTTGGAGGGTTACCTGTGTCCTCGGGGTCACCTGAGTGGTGCAAATGGTTCCTGTAGTCTGCAATTTTTCCTCTGGAAATTCATTCCTACTCCCACACTATTGAGGATTACCTGTATTTGCAGAAGAAAATGGGCATTGCCTGGCACCCTTGTACGCACAGGGTATAAACTGCCTAGATCAGGGGTCTCCAATCTTGGCAACTTTAAGACTTGTGGACTTCAACTCCCAGAGTTCCTCAGCCAGCAAAGCTTCAACTCTGGGAGTTGAAGTCCACAAGTTGTGATCCAGGGCACAGTTGTCCCAAAGGTGCTTTTTTCAAGAGGCAGCCGGACTTTCTTTGTTTTTCCTTAAAGACGTTTCACTTTTCACCCAAGAAGCTGAAGAACTGAGGAAGCCTTCTTGGATGAGAAGCGAAACGCCTTCAAGGAAAAACAAAGGAAGTCCTGCTGCCTCTTGAAAAAAGAACCTTGGTACAGGTAGTCCTCAACCTACAACAGTTTGTTTAGTCATTGTTCGAAGTTCCAGTAACTCTGAAAAAAGAGTTATGACCATTTTTCACATTTAACAACCATTGCAGCATCACCAGTGTCACGTGATCAAAATTCGACCGCTTGCCAACTGGTTCCTATTTATGACGGTCGCAGTGTCCTGGGGTCACGTCATCCCCTTTTGCGACTTTCTGACCAGCAAAGCCAACGAGGAAGCCAGACTCACTTAACAACCATGTCACTAACTTACCAACTTTAGAAATTCACTTAAATCCCTGGCGAGAAAGGTGGTAAAATGGGTCATAAAAATTCACTTAACAAATGTGTCACTTAGTAACATAAATTTGGCGCTCAGTTGTGGTTGTAAGTCGAGAATTACCTGTATAAAAACCTTCATTATAAAGATGTAAAACATCACAGTAAAAATGAAAAAAAAAAACAACCCTAAAAATTTAAAATATGCAAAGCAACCGTGGAGGCGTTCTCCGTGTCTTATCCATCTGGTTACTCAAGAGAGGAAGGTCTGAATTTTTACTGCCGCTTACTAAGTGCAGTTTAAGTTTTCCTTTCTAAAAATGCCACTTTTTCTTGGCAATCTATGGGTCTTAACTTCCCAGCATCCCCTCAAGACTGGATGCATCGGTTTTCCTCCTCCTTCAGGTCACAATTGTTAATGTTCTGAGTCTTGTAACACCTGGATGGTTAAGTTAATAAGAAGGACGACATAAGCAGGAAAAGCCGAGATCAGAAGTGTTTCTCTCGCGCTACACTGAACACAGAATCCTAGGGCTGGAAGGGACCTAAGAGGACCTCTAGTCCAACCCCCCTGGTCAAGGCAGGAGACCTTAGTCCATCTCAGTCAAATGGTGGTTTGGTCTATTTTTGAAAACCTCCAGCAATGGAGCACCAGAGGCAAGCTATTTCGTTGATTAATTCTACTCACTTGTCAGAAAATTTCTCCATAGTTGCATCTCTCTTTAGCAAGCTTTCACGCACTACTTCTTGTCCTCTCCTCCTTTGGAGAATAAGACAGTCCCCTCTTCTCTGGGACAGCCCCTCAAATATTAGAAGACACTTATCATGTCCCCCTTATTCTTTCTCGGCAATAGGCTAGAGTTGACATACCTAGCTCCCTCAACTATTACAATTTAGCCCCCAGAACTTTTATCCTCTTTGTTGCTCTTCTCTGTACACTTTCTAGAGTCTCTTTTTTGTATTGTTGGGATCAGAACTGGATGCACTACTGTGGGTTTATGCTCTTCCTCACACACACACTTTTTGCTTGACGTGGGATGTTTGCGCAGCTGGTCAGAATTGCCTGTCCTTAACTTGGGGTTCCTTCCTCTTTTAGGCCCAGGTGGCTTTCCTGCAGGGCGAGAGGAAGGGGCAGGAGAACCTGAAGGCCGACCTCGTGCGGAGAATCAAGATGCTGGAGTATGCTTTGAAGCAAGAAAGGTGAGCCACCATGCAGGCGTCACGTCCCCTCCTGAGTGTCCCACGTGGAGGTTCAGAAGCGGCGTGTAGATATACCTTAGTTCAGGGATCTCCAAACTTGGAAGCTTTTAAGATTTGTGGACTTCAGTTCCCAGAATTCCCCAGCCAGCATAGGGGAATTCTGGGAGTTGAAGTACACAGGTGTTAAAGTTGCCAAGTTTGGAGACCCCTGCCTTAATTTATTAAGATGGAAGTCAGCGCCTGAATTTGGGAAGGGGGGGAGGATAGGAGGAGTTCTCTCCTTTTGAATGTCCTCACAGTATGTATGTATGTGTATATGTATGTATGTATGTCCCTTATTTTTTGGAGTATAAAATGCTCCGGACTATAAGACGCACCTACCTTTTTTGGGGAGTAAAACAAGAAAAAAAATCTGCCTTTGCCTCCCAGCAATTTGCCTCCTTACAGCAAACAGCCTGCTTTAGTTTCGTTTTCATTTTCAGCACAGCCTGATTAGCACAAGAAAAAAAAAACTGCCTCCCAGCAATTTGCCTCCTTGCAGTAAACAGCAGAGGCCCGCGCAGCTGTAGGCAATGGCAATCCTTGCAGCCTGAAACAGCAGAGGATCGGGAGGCAGATCCAACTGACAATCAGCTGCTTGTGCTAATCAGGCTGTGCTGAAGCTGAAACGGGCGGTTTGCTGCAAGGAGGTAAATTGCTGGGAGGCAGAGGCCAAAGGGTGGGGGCCGGCAGGTGGGCGGGGCTATATTCGGTGTATAAGACGCACCCAAATTTTCACCCTCTTTTAGGGGGGGAAAAGTGTGTCTTATACTCTGAAAAATATGGTATTTGTTTATTTTTTTAAAAGCTTACCCTGCCTGTATTATTTTATAAGTAACACAAGGCGGTGAACATATCCAACACAACTTCCTCCACCTATTTTCCCCACAACAACAACCCTGTGAGGTGGGTTGGACTGACCGGCCCAAGGTCACCCATTCAGTTTTCAAGTCTAAGGTGGGACTAGAACTCACCGTCTCCTGGTGATTGGCCCAAAGCTACCCAGCTGGCTTTCCTACCTAAGGCAGAGCTAGAACTCCCAGTCTCCTGGTTTCTAGGCCGGCACCTTCCCTGTCAAACTGCCTCTCTCGCTTTGAAGGCATTCCCTACATTAAGGGGCACAGCGAGAAATGACCGCCGACATCCTTTCCTAAACTTTCCTTGTTAATTCCAGGTCAAAATACCACAAGTTGAAATTCGGCACTGAACTGAACCAGGGAGAAAAGAAAGTGGAGCCCTCTGAACCAGGTAGTGGGGCCGGGCCCACGGCTGCGCCTCGGTCAGGGGGACTCCGGTTCCAGGGCTGCTGTTGGGTGGGCCCCGGAGCCGAGGGACTTGCTGATAGGACTCTCTTTTACACTTAGTGTCCAACGGGCCAGCCGAGCCCCTCTCCCTGGAGAACAGCCCCTTCATCTGGAAAGAAGGACGCCAACTCCTCCGTCAGTAAGTAGCGGAGGCTGTCTGGGGGAGGCGGTGTTCTCCTAAGGGTGGGGATAACAGCCCCTTTGGCAGCTGTTTTTTGGACAGTTTTTAACAAGGAGTGTGCCAGATCCCTTGGCCTCCGGGTGAAGCGTGCCAGGTTGAAACTGTCTGGTCCCCGACTTACAACCAGAATGGAGCATGCCCATCATGGTCGTTAAGTCCTATAAATAAGTAAATATAAAGTTCTCTAAATAAATAAAGACAGGATGTTCATAAGACGTGTCAGCCACGCGACCGATCTGATTTTAAGACCTTTTTGCGTGGCAGTCGTTAAGCGAAGCAGTGGTTTGCTATGGGCCAGTTTGCCAAAAAAAACAGGAAGTGCCGGTTTTCAGCAAAACCGTGTTAAACACGGTGACGTAAGCACAAGATGCTGCAACTGGATGTAAATGCAGGCTGGTTGACAAGTACCCAGAGTGCGGTCACATGACGGGGGGAAGGGCTTGTGGCCGTCAGAAGTTCAGAACCAGGTCATAAGTGCCTCCAGAGAGGCCCCATCATAACTTTGGTTGGTTGCAAGGGCGAAGACTTGCCTGGGTGAGTTTCGGCCTCGAGGCCGCCAGTTGCCAACCTGCCCATTTAGTTCAACTAAAGGGCCGCCTCTCCCTCGGACCCTGGGGTCTCTCCTGCAGGTATTTGGAAGAAGTGGGCTACACGGACACCATCCTGGACATGCGCTCCAAGCGAGTCCGCTCTCTGCTGGGCCGGTGCTCCATGGAGCTGAACGGGGCTGCCGAAGCCAGCGGCCTGGGCACCGGACCAGCCCTGGCGGCCCCCAGCCTCAACGGAGGAGAATCACTTCTCGTCAAGCAGATTGAGGAGCAGATCAAAAGGTGAGCGGCCATCGGGATGGGCTTGGGGAGGGGAGGGTCTGTCTGGGTTAGAGAGGGGGACCTCGCTGGGAGTCCTGTCCATCACCGCAGCTCTTATTAGGTTTCCTGGAACAGTGAAACCAGGCGCTGGCATTTTTTCTTCGTAGTTCCTGTTTCATGTTGACATTAAGGTGCTAGCAATAGCATTGATGATGTTACCTAGTTGGGTCATGAGATGTCTGCAAGAAAACCATCAGGCTCACAGAACACCAAGGACCTCCACAGTCGTCGTCCTCCATTCTCCCATTTCTTCCTTTTCCTTCTCCTTTTCTTCCCTTCTTCCTCTTTCTCCTCCTCCTTTTCTCCATTTCTTCCTTTTCCTTCTCCTTTGCCTCTCCTTTATTTTCTCCTTCTCGTCGTCTTCCTCCTCCTCCTCCTCTTTTCTGCAAACCCCACTCCTTTCTAGCACTGATGATGTTCCCTACTTGGGTAATGAGATGCCTGCAAGAAAACCATCAAGCTCAGAAAGCACCAAGGACTCCACAGTTCACCACCACCACCACTCCCTTCTAGGACTGATGATGTTACCTAGTTGGGTCCTGAAATGTCTGCTAGAAAACCCCCAACCTCGGCACCCAGGACCCCTCAGCCCAACCCTGAGCTACAAAAGGATTCCCTTCCCTTCCTTCTGGCAGGAACGCAGGGAAGGAAGTGAAGGAGCGGATCAGTAACCCCGTCATGGAGAAGATCCCCTTTTTGAGGGGTTGCGAGGACGACGACAGTGACGAGGAGGAGGATATGGAAGGCCTGTCCCTGGAGACGCAGCGGCAGCACAAGAAGCAGCGCGTAAAGGTAAAGCCTTCGCTCCTGGTTGAAATTGTTGGGGTGCAGCAGGCACCGAGAAGCAGGCAGGCAGACTAGGGGTGTCCAGTTTCCGGTGAGGACTAGAACCTTGTCATTTTTAAGGATGGAAACTGGATTTCAGCTATTCTTGCAATAAAATTTCTAAGGCAAAACTGAGCATGAAACAGGCGTTTTGTGACATGAAAGTTTTGCCCATTCCTAGTTCGGCTTATTAATCAGGGTTGTTCCTTTAAATCAGGAGTGTCCAAGCTTGGCGACTTTACGACTAGTGGACTTCAACTCCCAGAATTCCCCAGCCAGAATTCTGGGAGTTGAAGTCCACCAGTATAAAGTCGCCAAGCTTAGACACTCCTCTGCTTTAAAGCACAGGATATCAGTCACCACGTGCATACAATTAGTCGTGTCTTTTGCCTTGCGTGTGCAATGTTTTAATTTATTCCCTTTTGCTTTTCAAGTTGAAAAAGCAGAATATCAGCCTGCTGCCATTACGGTAGCCCTCGTTCACTCCAGAAGCATTGTAGCTTCACAACAGGGCTATCCTGAAAATTACAAGGCCTTTTTGGGGGTGGTATTTTCCCTTCAGTTTGATTTTTTTTGGGGGGGGGGGCACAAGGAATATTTTACAGCCTTTTCCGTTTCTATCGCGTGCCGAGACAGCAAACGAGAAAACGGCTTTTCTACGGCTAAAGAGGCGGAATCCTCTAGAGCAGTGTTTCTCAACCTTGGTAGCTTGAAGATGGGTGGACTTCAACTCTGCTGGCTGGGGGATTCTGGGAGTTGAAGTCCACCCATCTTCAAGCTACCACGGTTGAGAAACACTGCTCTAGAGGTGGATTAGGAATCCAGGCCTAACTGAGCTCTGCTGCGTTTCTTGGCAGCTGGCCAACAAGCCCCTGATGCCAGAAGTGGAGGATGACGACGACGACGAAGATTCGGAGGACGCTCTGAGCGAGTTTGACTACTTGGGCTCCGGGGAAAACGGGGAAGGATCTGGGGACACGCGGCGTGCCGGAGATGGCAACGAAGTGGGTAAGTTCTCGGTGGTCTTGATCGATGGTCTCCTAACTCCTTTATCAGGGAAGGGTATCGGGAAGTAGAAATGGGAGAAGAGGTTAAATCTGTGGAGAAGCTGCATCGGAGGCCTCCAGCAACAGCTTCGACATCTTAGCTGCTGGGGGTCAGAAGATGTTTCCTCACTTGGGAACAGGAGAAGCCACCAAGAGACCCTGGGAAACAAGAGACCGTATCCCGTTTCAGACTAAAAGTCGTCTTCATCTTACAAACAGTTCATTTAAAGTTCATCTAAAGCAGTGTTTCTCAACCTTGGAAGCTTGAAGATGGGTGGACTTCAATTCCCAGAATCCCCCAGCCAGCAGCGCTGGCTGGGGGATTCTGGGAGTTGAAGTCCACCCATCTTCAAGCTTCCAAGGTTGAGAAACACTGCTCTAAAGGCCCAGGAAAAAAGTGACTTATGCCCGTTTTTCAGGCTTACGACCGTTGCAGCCTCCCCATGGTCACATGACCAGAATTCAGAGGCTTGGCAACTGACTCATCTTTATGACGGTTGCAGTGTCCCGCCATTGTGGGATCACGTTTTGTGACCACCTGGCAAGCAGGATGCCAGATTCACTCAATGGCCATCTTACTAACTTTAACAGCTGCAGTGGTTCACTTCATAACTTTGCCACTGTGGCCGGGAAAATTGTGAAATGGGGCAAAACTCACAAAACAAATGTCTCACTTAGTGCCTATGGAGATTCTCCGTCATCCAGGTCAAAGGTGTTTTTTTTCAAGAGGCACCTGGATTTTCTGGGTTTTCTTTGACGATGTTTTGCTTCTCATCCCAGAAGCTTCTTCAGCTCTGACTGGATGGATAATCCTTCCACTCCCCACCATCCAGTCAGAGCTGAAGAAGCTTCTTGGATGAGAAGCGAAACATCTTCGAAGAAAATCCAGAAAGTCCAGGTGCCTCTTGAAAAAGCACCTTTGGGTCTCACTTAGTAATAGAAATTTGGGGCTCCGTTGTAGTTGTAGGTTGAGGACTACCTGTCTTGTCTTTGGTGACGCCTTCGTGCTCCTTGAATTTCAAAACGGGGCCTGATTAGCAACCATCAAGGCTGACTCAGTCTTTCCTTCCTTCCTTCCTTCCCTCCTTTCCTTCCTTCCTTCCTTCCCTCCCTCCCTCCCTCCCTCCCTCCCTTCCTCCTTCCCTCCCTTTGTTTTCCTTCCTTCCCTTTCTTCCTTCCCTTTCTTCCTTCCTTCCCTCCCTCCCTTTTTCCTTCCTCCTTCCCTCCCTCCCTCCCTTCCTTTCTTTTGCTTGCTTCCTTCCTTCCTTCCTTTATTCCAGGGCCCCGCAGAGTGAAGCTGCAAGGGATGCTGGCTGATCTGAGTGATGTTGATGGACTCTCTCCTAAGCCTTCCATACCGCCAGCCATGACTTCTCAGCCCAGGTCCCACGAAGGTGATGGCTCCATACTTTTTGGGTTTCCAATTGACCTTTTCTGTCGTCCTGTCCAAAGCCCCCCTTCCTCCCTTCCCTCTGCCACATTCAAACTGTTTCTTTTTCCCTCCCCAAATCAGGGTCGCTGGGCTTCTCCTCGGATGTGTTCATCATGGACACCATCGGAGGGGGGGAAGTGAGCTTGGGGGACCTCGCAGACCTGACTGTCACCAACGACAATGAGCTGAGCTGCGATGTGAGTAGCCTTGGAGAAGTTCTGGAAGGCCTGCTGCCCTTTCACCCCCCCCCCTTGTCCTCTCGCTTATCTCACTGCAGCCGCCCAGCGCTACTGGGTGGGCCAAAAGAGAGGGTCTACAGGGCGGCCCAGGAAGAAGCCCCGGCCGTTGACTCTTTTCTCTCCTGCTTTCCCAGCTCTCGGACAGCAAAGACGCTTTTAAGAAGACGTGGAACCCCAAATTCACCTTGCGGAGTCACTACGATGGCATTCGAGCTCTGGTCTTCCACCACCGGGAGTCGGCTTTGGTCACCGCCTCGGAGGACGGCACTCTCAAGCTGTGGAACCTTCAGAAGACCGTGGCTGCCAAAAAGTGAGCCCCAAGGGAAACTCCTCCCTCCCTCCCTCCCTCCCTCCCTCCCTCCCTTCCTTCCTTCCTCTATCTATAGATCTATCTATATCTTCCATCCATCCATCAACTGCCTGCCTGCCTATCTCTATCTATCTATCTATCATCAATCTATTGTCTGTCTGTCTGTCTGTCTATCTATCTATCTATCTATCTATCTATCTATCTATCTATCTATCTATCTATCATCAATCTATTGTCTGTCTGTCTATCTATCTATCTATCTATCTATCATCAATCTATTGTCTGTCTGTCTGTCTATCTATCTATCTATCTATCTATCTATCTATCTATCATCAATCTATTGTCTGTCTGTCTATCTATCTATCTATCTATCTATCTATCTATCTATCATCAATCTATTGTCTGTCTGTCTGTCTGTCTATCTATCTATCTATCTATCTATCTATCTATCTATCTATTTATCTATCTATCTATCCTTTCTGTACCACCCACCCATCCACTTCTGTGCCTCTGGGCAGTTTACAAATAAATCAGTCAAATCGTGTGAAAGCTACAGTCTATTTTTTGGTCTCTTCCGGTTTCAGGAATGCTGCGCTGGACGTGGAGCCCGTCTACGCGTTCAGAGGACACAGGTGCGCAGATGTGCTTGCTGCAAACGGGTGGGGGGGAGGGGCTTTTTAGGACGCCAGGCAGACAATGCCATTGGCCCCTCCCCTTGCGGGAAAGTACAGGTATCCTCAACTTACAGCAATTCCGCTCAGAGTTGCAATGGCACTGAAAAATGGGGTTTAGGGCCCTTTTTCACACAACCGTTGCCATGGTCACATGATCAAAATTCAGCCACTTGGCAACCGACTCATATTTATGACGGTCGCAGTGGCCTGGGGTCGTGTGATTGGCTTTTGCAACCTTCTGACAAGCCAAACCAATGGAGAAGCCAGATCCGCATAACAACTGTGTGACTAACTTAAGAACTGCAATGATACGTTTAAGAACCGTGGCAAGAAAGGTCGTAAGATGGGGCAAAATTCACTTAACAGCTATCTCACTTAGCAACAGAAATATTGGGCTCAATTGTGGTCATAAGTCAAGGACTACCTGTACAATGATAAGATATTATGTGGCAATCTGTGGCCTAGTTTCTGACCCCCCCAGCAGCTGCCCCACTCAGCTGATTTGCCCTGCCTAACGGGGGGGCGGGGGGGCGAGAGCCTCAGCAGGCAACCCTGCACTGGGCTTGCAGAGGGACTAACAAAACCATCTTCCTCAGATACCTCGAGATTCCTCACACTGGTGTTGGGAATGGTCGTTTGGGCGTACGGTTCCTTCTTGCCTCTTCCAAGTCCTTCTCAGCCCTTCTCTGTGGTTTCCTCCTCAGGGGCCCGGTGCTCTCGGTGGCCATGGGTTGCAACAGCGAATCCTGCTACAGCGGTGGATCAGATGCCAGAATCCGCTGTTGGAAGATCCCCGATCTCGGCATGGACCCTTACGACGGCTACGGTAGGCAGGAAGCTCTCCTGGTTCAGCAGCCTCTTCCTCCTCCTCCTCCCCTCTCCTTGCTCGCAAAGTGGAATCCCGAAAGGAAATGCTCGGATGGAGAGTCGGGTTTTATTGTTCGGAGGCAGGAACCGTTTGGCTTCCTCCGTGTTTAGAACCGGAGACAAAAGAGGGGTAGGCTTTGCAATCTCGTTTCCTCCCCAAACGCTGGTTGAGCAGGATAAATGATGCATCATCCGTGGACTCAGAATTATTCTGGTGCCCTGGCTGTGTGCTCAGACCCTCCCTCCCTCCCTCCCTCCCTCCTGAACTAGAAGAAGGCTTTTGGGTTTCCTTAGCTGGTCGTCGCATCATTCAAATTCAAAGTTCCTTTTACGTTGTCTTGAATGGCTGGCCATTTCTTCATTTCTTCCCATGCTCCATGGGAACGCACGGGAGAATCTGTAAACACGGTTTATTTATTACTCAGATTTATCTGCTTTATTTTTATCCCGCCTTTATTATTCTTATAAACAACCTAAGACAGCGGACATAGCTAACATTCCTTCCTCCTCCTCCTCCTATTTTCCGCGCAACAACAATCCTGTGAAGTGGGTTGGGCTGAGACAGAGCGAATTTATTGTCTCCTGGAGACTGACCCAAAGTCATCCAGTGGCTTTCATGCCTGAGGCTGGACTAGAACTCACTGCCTGGTGCCTTCACCGCTAGACCAAACAGGCTTTTATGCTACTTTGGTCTGAACAAATCTGAGCAGCTTACAAGTAGAACCTTCTTTTCCTCGCTTCTAAATTCATGTTCTTAACCATGTTCCTAATATGATTTGTTCCCCCGCTTGCCGGGCACCGTCTGCGCCAAACGGAGGGTGCCAGATGTTGTCTCTCTCTTTGTGGCGTAGATCCGAGCGTGCTCCACACTGTCCTGGACGGCCACACGGATGCTGTCTGGAGTCTGGCCTTCAGTCTCGCGAGGAATCGCTTGGCTTCCTGCTCGGCGGATGGCACCGTGAGGATATGGGACCCGTGCAGCGGCTCCTGTCTTAGCACCTACAACGCGGACAACGGTGAGCCAGGCTGGGAGGGGGGTCTGCAGAGGGGGGCTCACGGGGATCATACCCCAGCCTTTAAGATAAGGTGGAATAAGATAAGAAACTCTTTATGGTCACTTTTTTCTGTGAACACACTGGAACACATCAAAAAATGAAATTCTGATGCCTGTCCTCAAAAGCATGTGTGTACACACACACACACACACACACACACTTGTATGTATGTATGTATGTATATATATACACACATACACACAATGTATACACACACACAAGGCACATGGAGTGCTGTTCCCTTCCCATCAAAGCTGGTCCCTATTTTTCTACTTGCATTTTTTATGTGCTTTTGAGCTGCTAGGTTGGCAGAAGCTGGGACAAGTCACGGGAGCTCACCCCGTTATACGCGGCACTAGGGATTCAAACTGCCGAACTGCTGACCTTTTGATCGACAAGCTCAGTGTCTTAGCCACTGAGCCATCGTGTCCCTTTACAAACACACACACACACACACACATATAATAATCACAGACCATTTAGAATACATAGCGGAAAAAAGAGTCTTGAGAGTTAAGAAGGTTGAAACATCCATGAATATAACTTACAAATCAGTTGTAACTTCAAATGCTCAGTATACAAACTGTTGCAAGTCGAGGATTATCCGTAAGTTAAAAATCAGAATACCACAGAACGGAGGGTTTTTTTTTACAATTATTATTGCGTTTGAGGGCTGACCTCCCCCGGGGCCCCTTGGGTTCTCTCCTGCAGAAAACGGCACGCCAACCTCCGTCGCCTTCTCCAGCACCGATGCCACGCGGGTGGTGGCAGCCTTCCAGACGGGCAGGGCGGTTCTCTATGACGCGGAGGCTGCCTGCCCCATCCTGACCTTCGAGGGCAGACCTGCCAGTGGTGAGTTGGGACGGGTGGATGAAGAAAGAGAGGCTTGTTTCCCAAGGGAGGAGCTTTCGGGAAGGGGGTTATGGGTTTTTGTGTGAATTTTAGGTGGGTAGGTTGCATTTTGAAATGATAGAAGTGTCATTAATTCTAAAATAGCAATAGCACTTAGACTTACCCTGTTTCCCCAAAAATAAGACATCACCTGATAATAAGCCTAATCGGGCTTTTGAGCGCATGTGCTAAAATAAACCCTCCCCGAAAATATTTAAACGCAGAGCTGGAAATCAGGTAAGACGGCAAGAGGAGGCCCGTCTTGCTCCACACGCCCCAAAATAATAAGACCTCCACGGCCAAGCGCTTATTTCGGGATTCAAAAAATATAAGACGGGGTCTTATTTTGGGGGAAACACGGTATATACCGCTTCACAGTGCTTGTCAGCCCTCTAAGCGGTTTACAGAGTCAGCCTCTTGCCCTCCAACCATCTGGGTCCTACAACTCCTCTTGAACCAGAGCGCCTGCCCTTCTCCTCTTGCCTTTGCACAGGAGCCAGTCAGATCAACCAAGTGGTGAGTCACCCCACCCAGTCTGTCACCATCACGGCACACGACGACCGAGGGATCCGTTTCCTAGACAATCGGACAGGTAAGGGGGTGGGGTGGGGGGGAAACTAATGGCCTCCGATTCCTTCAAGGGATCCTTGGGGCTCTCCGAGCTGGGTGGCTTTCTGGCAGACGTTTCATGACCCAACTAGGGAACATCATCAGTGCTGGAGGGGGGGAAGGGTTGTGGAGTGGAGGAGGAGGAGGAGGAGAAGTGGGGGAGGAAGACTGTGGAAACCCTGGTGCTCCGAGAGCTTCGTTGTTTCCTTGCAGATTCTCATAACCCAACTAGGTCATATCATTGGGGGGGGGGGTAGGAGAAGGAGAAGAAGAAAAAGAATCAACAACAGCTACTACTACTGTGGGGTGCTTTGTGCTCTGTGAACCTGGTTGTTTTCTTGCAGACATTCCATTAACCAACTAGGGAACATCATCAGTGCTAGTAAGGAATGGGCTGAATTTCGAGCCTGAGCTACAGATATTCTCCTTCACAAGAACGGGAAGCGATTATTCCCCCTTCAGGGCCGGAAAAGAAAGCTGGCAGGATCCGATCTAGCAGCCCTGATCATGTTTCCCCTCCGTCTCTTGCCCAGGGAAAGCCGTGCACTCTATGGTGGCCCACCTGGATGCGGTTACCTGCCTGGCCGTGGATCCCAACGGAGTCTTCCTGATGTCGGGAAGTAGGTGCCTTCTCTCCCTTCGTCTCCTGGGCAGAGAAATGAGCAAACCTCACCCAGGGCTGCTCAGCACAACCGAGTGGGAGGAAGGAGGAAGCTGTAAGGCCTGAGGCTCCTCGGGAACTCCGCTTCTCCTGGGCCTTTCACCCCCCCCCACCTCCCCCGTGCCACCTCTGGCCCTTTGGTGGCCCCTGTCCGGCCGGCGTGAGAAATTAGAAATCAGGTGTCCGTAAGAATAACGCCATACGTGAAGTGCAGCTGCCTTGGTTTTATTTTGAAGAAATTTTCTTTTATTTCTTTTTTTCAATTGATATGCAAAGTAGTCCTCGACTTACGACCACAGCAGAGCCCCAAATTTCCGTTGCTAGGCGAGACAGTTGTTAAGGGAGTTTAGTCCCATTTTACGACTTTCCTTGCCCCTTTTGTTAGGTGAGTCACCGCAGTTGTTAAACGAGTAATACAGTTGTAAAGTGAATCCGGCTTCCCCATTGACTTTGCTCGTTGGAAGGTCACAAAAAGGGATCACATTACACACACACACACACACACACACACACACACACACACACACACAGGCAGTGGGACTGTCATAAATACGAGTCAGTTGCCGAGCGTCTGAAATTTTATCACATGACCACTGGGATGCCAGCAGTGGTCCTAAGTGTGAAAAATGGTCCTGTCACTTTTTTCTGTGCTGTTGTGACTTTGATCAGTCACTAAATGAACAGTTGTAAGTCAAGGACTACCTCTAGGTGCATGCATGCGGGCCTACGCATCTTCACAGCTCTGTTGGTTCCGCCCTCCGCCACAGTCCCAGTTTCTCCTGGGGCGTCTTGGGAAAATTAATAGCCTACTCCCACGTTGGACGTAGTCCCGAGTCTTGGGTTCAAATGCTGACAACCCCCAGCTGAGTTCCCCCTTGAGAAGATGCCATTTGGCCTTAAAAGGCCCCAGCCTGGCCTTTGGGTTTTTGGCCGAGCGGCTGTGGCCAGAGACGGGGAAGACCCTGGCACTCCAGGAGGGTCTTGCATTGCGTGGGTGTGCACCTCTGCGGGTGTGATTGTGGCTGCCTCCCAGCCGTCTCTCTCTTCCCGCAGGCCACGACTGCTCGCTGCGGCTGTGGAACCTGGATAACAAGACCTGCACGCAGGAGATCACGGCGCACCGCAAGAAGCACGAGGAAGCCATCCACGATGTGGCCTTCCACCCCAGCAAGGCCCTGATTGCCAGCGCGGGAGCCGACGCCCTGGCCAAGGTCTTCATATGAAGGGGAGGCAGGCCTACAGGTGAGCCCTGCGCCAGAGAGATTGGGGGGCAGGGGACGACAGACAGGATGCAGGCTCTCCGGCTTGAGCAGGGGGTTGGACTAGAACAGGGGTCTCCAACCTTGGCAACTTGAAGACTTGTGGACTTCAACTCCCAGAATTCCTCACTTTGAGAGGTCACTCAATGAACTGTCGTAAGTGGAGGACTGCCTGTATTCCATTATGCCATTAGGACCTCCTCTCTGCCTCCATCTTCACGAGCCTCTTGTTTCCTCTTCCCAGGAATCCTGCCTCTTCCGCTTCCTCCTTCCTCTGGCCCGGCAGTGGTGCTAACACAGCGCGTCCCTCACCTGCCGGGACCCTCCCCGTCTCTCACCTGAGCTCGGGACCGATGCCTGCTGGACAGCATGAGGGGCCATCCGCGGCCCCTTCCTCGCCCTCGCAGCTCACCTTTCTTCACCAGCACTGAAAACGTTTTTCCACTCATTTCAAGGCCGCCCTGTGGTTTTTATTTCCCAGCTCAGGGAGTGGAAATCCTCCCCCCCAATTACCCCCCCTCCCAACAGCCTTCGGAAGGGGAAGGAATCCCCCTGACTCAGCTGCTGGAGTAGCTTGGGGAGAGGCACCTGGACCCCCAAACCTCGGCTTCCTTGGGAAAGGGGCGTTGAAATCTCCCCCCCCCCCTTTCTCAGCTCAGTTGGCCGAGGACATTTTTGTTTTTTTCAAGCGTTTTGGGCCACTTTGATGCTGCACAGACTCTTCCTGAAGATGGACAAAATGCACTGGATGCCCAGCTCCAACATCGGGGCCTTTGACTTGCCCTCCGGCCCCACGGCGTGGGCTACGGGGCTCCAGATCCAGAAGAAATCAAGTGCCAACCTTTGCTCCTTCTGAGCCACCAGATGAGCCCCTGTTCCGCCTCTTACCTTCACTTCTTCAGCCCCTTCTAATTTGCACGCCTGGCGTGCTTCGCTCAGCAGCGACGATATTTGGAAGAGGAGACGGGGTGGTGTTCTCCTCCAACCCCCTGGCCCCAATTTCTCAGGCAGGCCTCCTGGAAGAGGCAGGAGATTCTGGGTGAGGGTCTCCTCTGATTTTGCCGGTATTCTAAAGCAGGGGAATCTGCAAACGTGGCCCCTTTAAGACCTGTGGACTTCAATTCCCAGGATTCCCCAAAGAATTCTGGGAGTTGAAGTCCACAGGTCTTAAAGGGGCCGCGTATGGAGACTTCTGTTCTAAAGGGGACAGGTAAGGGGATCGGGGAGGGGTCCAAGGAGCAGGGTTGACCGATCAACCAGCAAACCAGCCCATGCTGGTCTACCCTGCTAGAGACGGAGCATTCTGGCTTGTTCCCCTCCTTGCTGGCAGGGGGCTTTGGGGGCAGGAGAAGGGGATCCACGAATGTGATGAATGGGGTGATGAGGATGGTGAAAAGTTTGGGGGAAGAATGTTGTGAGGCCCACCCTGCGTGGTTACTCCTGGGTGACCCTGAGAGGGAGGGGAGGGGATTGTTACAATGGCCGGATCACCTGTCCTGGGCTAAGAGGAAGGTGTTCCTGCTTCTGGGTGGCTGGGTGGGGGGGCTGTGTGCTTGCAGAAGGTGGGGGAGCCTCCAGATTTGACCTCTGTTGACAGCTGGAAGTAAGCAACCCACAGCATTTCTCAATTTGGGCTGCTTTTAAGAAGTGTGGACTTTAACTCCCAGAATTCCCGAGCTTACCAGCCATGGGAGTTCAAGTCCTAACATAACCGGTTGGGGAATTCCGGAATTTCCATCCTGAAGTACAATAGCTGGGGAATTCTGGGAGTTGAAGTCCAGAACTGTTGAAACTCAGTAGCATGCTGGCTGGGGGAATTCTGGGAATTGAAGTCCACACCTCTTCCTGTTGCTAAGGTTGAAAAAAAATCCCCACTTATTGGGGAGCCATGCCTGAATCCAGCTTCATGGGAGCAAAAGGGGCACGAGGAGCCACCTTCCCACCTTTTGGGGGCCTGCACTGCGGATCAGACCATCCGCTATCCTGGAGGGGTGGAGCTCTTGTAAATTGTTCTCTCCGGCGCATCACATCTGGGCTGCTCCGATTCTCTGAATTGGCCAACCTCACCTGAGGTGGGCAGCTGCCAGCCTCTGTTCCTGGCCTGGGACACCTGTGGAAGGAGGCTGTTCTGCAAAGCGCTGGCGTACCTCTACGCAAGGTGAGGGCAGAAGCACAACTCTTGGGGGCATATCTGCAGCGAGGGGTCCTAAAAGTCAAGGGAGCGAGCACCACCAGGAGATCAAAGCCCCATCTTTTTTTAAAAAAATGCACATCTGTGGGCTTCAATTTCCCGACTCTCGCATCCATCTTGACCTTATAAACTCCCCCCTCCATACAAATGTCCCCCAAGCTCTTTGCAAACACCCCCTTCCCTGCAGTTGGGAGTAATTTTTGGGGGGGTGGAGGGGGAAAACGGTTTGGGTTTCTCTTTTTTCAACTTTTATCTCCTTTCGTTCTTCGGGGCGGGTATTTGGGTCTTCCTCGTTTGTTTTTGTATATTCTGTACAGTCGAAGAAAACAAGGTTTGAAAAAAGAAAAAGGACACAAACACACACACACACACACACACATCCCGGGCACTGCGAAGGGCTGATGATCCTGGAAATCACCACAATCTCGTTATCACTGTGTGATAGTTTCTACGCGCCACCACGGCCATTTTTTTAAAAAAGAGAAAACGTCCAATTTGAACTCGAGCCGGGAGGGGGAGAGGAAGGCCGATTTCAAAGGGGAGAAGCAGCCGTGTCACGTGCACCCCAACACCCCCCACCCCGAGAGACTCACTACTGGCCACTCTTCCCCCCCCCACACCTCACCCCATTTGCCCCCCCTTCCTCTTCTCTGTGGGGCTCATTGGACTCAGCACGCCTGCTTTTAAAAAAAAAAACGCCAATTTAGCTTTCTCCTATATTTATTTGAACTCTTCTTTATAATTTGGGGCCTTGTTTTAATCCTAAAACTCAACTGTATGTGGGACAAAAAAAAAAAAAAAAACCTGCCTCGGTAATAATATTAATAATAAAAGTAATAAATTAAAAAAAGCCCACGTAATTGTTTTGCAATAAGAGCAGGAAATTGCAACTCCTTTTTCTGGTCTTCTACAATGTTGTGTTCACAAGTGCTGTTTTCAAGGGTTGGATTTTTCTGCTAATTTTAAAAAGGCTCCCCAAAGGAGGCCTAATCTGTCCAGAAAGGGTGCTCCTTTGGAGATGCCTGGGGGGGATGGGAGGTGCCCCCTCCCCACAGCCCCGGTGCTACTTCTCTTCCTATAAAAAGGATGGTGCAATTTGAGGGGGGGGCAGCATCTAGGATAAAGGCTGAGAGGGGGAGTCCCATCCCACCTTTACATAAATAACTCAATTATTTATATAACGCATCTTCAAGCAATCCAGTTTGAGGAACCCTGCTCCAAATTAAGCTGCTGGTCCTCATGATTGAGAGACATGTTTTTAACTAATCCAGAGCTCCCAAAAGTAGAAAATTGACACGTTGGGTTGTAGAGCTATGGATCTTCTGGGAGTTGAAGTCCACACCTTGTAAACGGGCCAGGTTTGTTTTTATTTATTTATTTGGTTTATCTGCCGCCCTTCTCCGGAGACTCAGGGCGGCTTACAATGCGTTAAGCAATAGCCTTCGTACTTTTGTATATTTATACAAAGTCAGCTTATTGCCCCCACAAACTGGGTCCTCATTTTACCTGCCTTTGAAAGGATGGAAGGCTGAGTCAACCTTGAGCCTGGTGAGATTCGAACTTGCAGTAATTGCAGGCAGGTGGATGTTAATAACAGTGCTTTAGTCTGCTGCGCTACCAGGGCGCTCTCTGCAGTGCGCTGCATGGGATCGTTAGGAACCAAACTAACTGAATGGCCCCTGGCTTGTTCATCCCCCTGCGGCCTGTTTCCTCTTACGGTTGAGATAGCAGCCCTTAAAAAAAGAAAAAAAAATGCTGGAGGGAAGGATTTCCCGTTCAGTCCTCACCCTTTGCCGAAACCCAGGTCCTGAGAAGCAGGAGGGGGCATCCCCCAAGCCAGCTTGGCTCGCTGTTGTGACTCGGGCATGCTATGACAAGTGCCAACCGCCCCGCCTGCCCCGGGCACGGTTTTCCGGAGCGCCTGTCAGCTTTGACTTTAGGAAATGATGCGTGCAAGGCTTCCCGGGCGCTGCACCTGGTTCAGAAAGGCTTCCTGGCTGGGGCACGCAGTGAGCGGTGCCCGCAGGGTGGCACCTCGAGGGCAGCTCAAGGTGAAAGCCTGTCGAACTTGCTCCGTCACCTTAGGGAGCCAAGCCAGGTGGCTGCCAAGGGAAGAGCCCTTTGGTTGTCTCGGGGTGGGCAGAGCTGCCATTTCTTAACCTCATTTTGTGGTATCTTGGCTTCCGGACTTGTTTTAAGCAGCAGGAGGATAGAAGCATTTAAGCATTGTCACTCTGGGCAGAAATGGGGTGGGGGGTGGGTTGTGTCTTCAGTGCCCTCTGAGCTGAGTGGGGAGGGGGGGCGTTTACCCAATTCGGTAGTCTCCATCAGGGCCAGAAGAGAGTGCAGCTTGAGGAACGGAGGATGAGGAAGACCCCGGGGTTCTTGGTGCTCTCTGAGCTTGGTAGTTTTTCTGCAGACGTCTCCTGACCCAAGTAGGTAACATCATCAGGGTTAGAAGAGTGTAGTCTTTGCTCTCCGTTTAAAAACCCCACTCTCTTCGAGCACTGGTGATGTTCCCTAGTTGGGTATTGAAACTTCCTTCTTTAAATTCCGAGGAGTCCTTTGTGCTCTCTGAGCTTGGTGGTTTTCTTGCAGACGTTTCATTAACCAACTAGGTAACAACATCAGTGATAGGAGGGAGGGGTGTTTGTGAAGAGAAGGAAGACGACTGTGGGGTCCTTGGTGGTCTCTGAGCTTGGTGGTTTTCTTTCAGACGTTTCATGACAACGAAAAAAGCTACAAAATAAAGCCTCCTTGCCACCAGTCAGCAACACCCGGATAAGCAGAGATTAACCCCGAGATTAAAACTAGACCAACAATCAAACAGTAAACAATCCCCCTATCAAGGAACAAGCAATGATTAATGGTAAACAAAAGCCCAATGAAGGAACTACCAAGAACCCTCCCACCAACACTGACAAGCCAAGCCATGGGATATAAAAAGAGAGGAAACCCCACTCCCTCCGAGCACTGATGATGTTCCCTAGTTGGGTCACGAAACGTCTGCAAGAAACCCACCAAGCTCAAAGACCACCGAGGACCCCACAGAAGCAGGAGTGCCCTCCTTGCCAGTCCAAGCAAACCCGGAGCTCCCTTACAACCAGCCCGTTTGCCAAGAATTGTGGCAGGTGGACCTCGTGGCCTGCAGAGCTGATGGTGGGAGGACAGCTGGGCTGCTTGTCTTGCGAAGGAGGCCACCAAGCCGTCCGTACCTTTGCCCATCGCAATAACGTCCTTCGGTCAACAGCCGAGAAACTCCAGTTGCTTCAGCGTTTCCCTTTTAGAAGATTAGCCATGAACTCACCGTGAGCTCAGAGGACTCTCGCTGTTCCTTCATCTGCTCATCCGCTTCCAAAATTCTCGGCTTTGCTCAATGGCGGCTTGACAAGTGAGAGCAGGTGGCCAGCAGATGAGATCAAGGCTAGTACCTGGCCGAGGCTGGGTGGACATTAGAGTTCTAATTCCCAGTTTCTAAATCTAGGATAGCTGGCTTAATGGGGACTGGGGTTCAAATCTTCCCAAGTTAACGAAAAACACATTTCTGAGCACACGCAGAGAATACAGGTAGTCCTTGACTTATGGCCACGATTGAGCCCCCAAACTTTCTTCTGTTAAGGGAAACAGCTGCTAAGTGAGTTTTGCCCCATTTTACGACCATTCTTGCCACCGTTGTTAAGAGAATCACTGCAGTTGTTAAGTTAGTCACAGGGTTGTTGAATGAATCTGGCTTCCCCATTGAATGGGCTTGTCGGAAGGTCACAAAATAGGATCACGTGAACCCGGGACATTGCAACTGTCATAAGTACATGCCAGTTGCCAAGCTTCTGAATTTGGAGCATGTGATCATGGGGATGCTGGAGTGGTTCTAAGTATGAAAAATAGTCCTAAGTCGCACGACTTAACCATCATTTGCTTAGCGTTTCAAAGTTACAGAAGCCCTGAAAGAATTGACTCACAACCAGTCCTTGCAGTTATGACCGTCGTAGCACCTCCGCGGCCACATGATCAAAATTTGGACACTTGGCACCTGGACCGTATTTATAATGGTTGCAGCGTCCTCATGTAACAACCTTCTCAGATGGCTCCCGACAAGCATAGTCAACAGGGGAAGCCAGATTCGCTTAATGACCAGCCAATTCACTTAACGACTGCAGTGATTTGCTTAACGGCCATGGCGAATAAAAGGTCCTGAAATTGGTCGCGATTCATTTAACAACCGCCTTGATTAACGATGGAAATTTTGGCCCCAATAGTGGTCGTAAGTTGAGGACTAGTTAGGTAATCTGGTTTTATTGATCAATAGTTTTTCATTGCTTAAAAAAAAAGGCTCTCGGGAAGGAGATGCTTCACACCCAGGGCTGGCACGCAGGCTGGCATTCCAGGCTGTGGGAACCGCACTGCCGAGGGGCATAATCTGGGCAGCCTCTCCAAGCAGGATGTTTCTGCAAAGGCAGACAGGAAGATGGAGCCAAGCCGCCCCTCCTTAACTTCCAGGAACAGAACTCGGATATCTGGCGGCTGCAGCTTTGGGATGGGGGGGGGCTCTTTCAAGAGGGCCAGCAGCCTCGGAGGAGAAGGACTGAGGCGAAGAGACCCAGAGGAAGGGGCTTTGCAAAGAAAGGCCGTCCGAATCCGAGTTGTATCTCGCTTTTACTCTTTTTTAGCAATAACTCCAGGCAGCGAACATCTCCAACACATCTTCCTCTTCCAGTTTTCCCCATAACAACAACCCTGTGAGGTAGGTTGGGCTGAGAGAGAGGGGAGGGGGAAGGGCCCAAAGTCATCCAACCGTCTTTCATCAATAAGGTGGGATTAGAACTCTCCAACTCCTGGTGATTGGTCCAAAGTTTCCCAGTCGGCTTTTGGGCCTAAGGCGGGACTAGAACTCACCATCTCCTGGTGATTGGGCCAAAGTCACCCAGCCAGCTGTCATACCTAATGTGGAACCACAACTCACCATCACCTGGTTTCTTGTCTGTGCCCTAACTAGGACAAACTGAGTCGAGTTTTGGACCAAACTATTTAACAGAAGGTGCCACAAACTGAAAAGGAAGATGGATGAATCCCCCTTCCAGTCCAGCCCTAGGATTCCCTCTTCCCCCCTCTCTCTGTGGGTCCAGGAAACCAGAGTTGAGGGTCTCCAAAGTCTCCCGAGGGAATTTTGGAGAAGGGGGAGCTGGGTCCCTCTGCTACTAAAAGGCCACACCTGAATTCCTCCACCTGTCTGGATGACTCAAGGCTTCCCATTCCGGGAAGAAGTGATTTCTTATCACACCCTCCTTTGGCTTCTGGGTGGGAAGACTTTTGGGTGTCTGAACGGCTCCAAGGAATCGCCAGATCTCTTCTCCGCCGAGACATTCCAAGCATCTCAACAAGAGCCTGGGATCGATCAACCGATCAATTACATTTATCCAGCCCCTGATCTCACCTTCCAGCGATTTTCCTTCACCTATTAGTGCACAGATGGGTTGTTACTACAAATCCTATAGTCCTTTGCTAACAGGCCTATGGGAGATGGGGTCCGGTACATCCAGATGAGATGGGGAGAGAACTCTTGCCCCCCCCCCCACATTTCTCCATTGTTCTCCTGCCAAATGGGCCCTCTTGGACCAACTGGCAGGAGGCGGACCTGACTATTTTGGATCGGATCCCTTCCCGGGTCTGGCCCGGACCAAGTGCCCCCCCCTTCTTAAAAAAAAGGGGGAGGGAAAAGCAGAACCCAAGAATTGGGGAGGGGTCGAGGTCACGGTGGAGGGGTCCTCCGAGGCTATTTTGGCTCCCGATTTCAAACAAAGCCGAATCTCGCCACGACGGGGGGGGGGGGGCAAAAGACCCAAGGAGGAACGTGTGAACGAACCTGCTTGCAAGACAGGTTCGCAACCGGGCAATCCGATGGGGCGCATAAAGCGGGCTTCTGGTTGGGGTTAGACTTGAGCAATGGGAAGAAAAAGCCTGCGTGGTGTTGTTGTGTTGTGTTGTGTTGTGTTGTGTTGTGTGTTTCCAGAAGGAGCTCCGTCCCGCTCAAAGAAAGCAAAAGCTTGCAAATTCCTCGACGGCGCCGGCCACTCTCCAGCCGCGAGGGCAGGACGGGCTCGGGCTTAGTGCATCTTGCACATGCTCGCAGGCTCCGAGAAAGGGCACTCTGCACATGCTCGCAGGCACCGGCTCCGCGTCCTGCAGCCAGGCGAGGGCTGGTGAGCGGGGGCGGGCGAGCGCGGCAGCCTCTCCTTGCAGCCCGGCCGGTGCAATCGCGCCCGGGGACCCTGGGGCTCCGCTTCCTCCCCGCGGCCCGTTCCGGCTCCACTCCGGAGCGACGGGGCGGGCTCCGTGACTTCATCCCCGGGGCTCCCCATTGGCCGCGCGGCCCGTCACTCCCCGCACTTCCTCCTCGGGGGAAAGGAGTGGGGGGGCGGCGGAGGAGCGAGAAAAGTTTGTCCGGCGGGGCGGGCGCTGCTGCGGCGTCCTCGGAGACGCGTCCCGGTGGCCGGAGAGACGCCCGAGGGCTCCTGGCAGCCTCTCCCGGGTGGGGCCGAGCGAGCGAGCGAGAGAGACGGCGGGGAGGGCAGCTGAGCCCGCGGGCGCCTGGATGGCGTCCCTGCCCGCCTGCGCCTCGCCCGCGGGCGCCCCCGAGCCCATCCAGCCGGCCGCCCCCCCTCCCGGCCCGCCCGGGGTCTCCTTCCAGCTGCAGATCGGGCTGACCCGCGAGTACGTCCTGCTGCCCGCCGCCTGCGACCTCGCCCACGTCAAACAGCTGGCCTGCTCCATCGTGGACCAGAAGGTGGGGGGGGGGGCCCCCGCGGGGAGGGGGGGGGGGGGGGGGCGCTGGGCCCGGCGGCGGGGGGGGGGGGGGGGGGGGGAAGGAAAGGGGACCACCAGGAGAGCAGGGGAGATGCCGGCATCTCTGGCCTCCGCGGTCGCTAGCGGGGTCTCCACGCGGGGCAACGACGGGGAGGCGGTGGAAAGGAGCAACCGCCGCGCTGCTGTCCGGAGGAGCCGGAGGGTTTCGGGGCAGGGAGCTCCCGGAGCTGGGAAGCCCACCGGCCGGGCTCTCGCCTGGGGTCTCTCCGCGGCTTCTGCCACTGGCGGTTCCCGGGCTCCGGAGCGCTTCGCTTAAGACGGGTCGGGGAGGCTGGAGGCTGGAGACCCGTCCGGGGAGCCTCGGGCTGGGCCGCCGCTGCCCTTTGGCCGGCTGGGTGTGTTGTACAGGTGAGTCTATGGAGACTTTCCAGGTGATGGTTGTGGCCAAGGTGCTTCTGGGTTCCCCCCCCCCAAAGGCAAATGGACTTTCTTGGGGTCTTTTTTTCTTTGAAAACGTTTCACTTCTCAGAAAGCAAGAAAAGTCCCAGGTTGTCTTTTTTGGGGGGGGGGTGGGAAAGGAAGAGGAGAAGCACCTTTGGGACAGGTGTGTTGCTGGTGCAGCAGCCTCACACACAGCCTGCTCTGATTGGCAGGTCTTTTGGCGAGGGGCTTCTTGGCCTGGAGAAGGAGGGAGCCATTATAGCAGGAAAACCGGTTCTGGGTTGTCCCTGTTAGCCCAGCTCAGCTCCCTGGACAGGTGTGGGGCGGATCAAAGGGGCAGGAATGCATTGAAGGTCTCCGGGTCAGTGACTTGGTTAGAGGGAAACATGAAATTAGGAAGAGAGAGAGAGAGAGAGAAGCAGCGGAGTTGAATAAAGAGGCCAGGCGGATCTACCTTCGTTGTTCTTACAAATAATTCGAGGTGGGGAAACCTATCCAACACACCTTCCTCTTCCTGTTTTCCCCACAGCAACAACCACCCTGTGAGGTGGGTTGGGCTAAGAGAGAAAGGGACAGGCCCAAAGTCACCCGGCCAGCTTTCAGAGCTAAAGTGGGACTAGAACTCACTTGTCACCTGGGGATTGGCCCAAGGACACCCAGCCAGCTTTCGTACCTAAGGCAAAACCAGAACTCGCCACCTCCTGGGGATTGGCCCAAAGTTCCCCTGCTGACTTTCATGCCTAAGGCAGGACTAGAACTCACGGCCTCCCTCTTCCTAGTCCGGTGCCTTAACCACTGGACCAAACGGGCTCTCGGTATCAAATATCCTGGGGGAAAAAAAATGTAGAATTTCAGCATCCATAATCCTCCAAACGCTTCTTAAGGTCTGTCTTGTTTGCAAAAAGAAAAGAGGAGGGGGCTTTAAGGTTTGTCATGCTGGATAAAGCGTCATTCCATCTGACCCCCGACCCCGTCCCACTGGCTGTACAATGGTTTGGATTTCACACACAGAATAAGAGAGCTGGAAGGGGCCTTTGAGGTCTTCTAGCCCAACCCCCTACTCAAGCAGGAGACCCTAGACCAGTGTTTCTCAACCTTGGAAGCTTGAAGATGGGTGGACTTCAACTCCCAGAATCCCCCAGCCAGCGTTGCTGGCTGGGGGATTCTGGGAATTGAAGTCCACCCATCTTCAAGCTTCCAAGGTTGAGAAACACTGTCCTAGACCGTTGCAGACAAATGACTGTCCAGTCTCTTCTTAAAAGCCTCCAGTTTTTAAGCCGAGATGCCCAACTGAACCCCGATTCAGTTGGAAACAATGGTTTCTTTTCAAACTTGGCTCTGAGTGGCCTTCAGCTCAAGTTGCCAAGTTTGAAAAAATGTTAGTTTACAGGGTGTCAGGGCATATACAAATGTAGCAGCAGCTCCTGAATGACAGTGAGGGAGACAGCATAGACTTCAGGAAGCCATGGGGGGGGGGGGGAGAAAAAAAATCGGGGGCCGGGAAACCCCCGAAATGGAAACGGGGAAAGAACAAAGAGGTGTGATGCTGACTTTAAAAAAAAAAAAAACTTTCACGCTGCCACGTTGTGTTGCAGAGGCTGCTTGCAGAATTCGTGGCGCGCTCTGAAGTTTGCATTTTGCAGGTGGCCCTTTCGATCCAGTCTGGGTGGGGGGTCTTACTTGGGAGTCGGGGGCATGTGGGGCGGGGGGGAAGGAAGGTCCGTCTTGTTAAGACAGGGAGCAGCCAGTGCAGAAACTTCCCTGATGGGTGCAGAACTTGAACTCGGAGCCGGGGAAGAGAGCCGTAGCTAGAGAGACCCCGGCGTCAACCTCTTGTCTCCTCTCCCTGCCCAACGGTTGTGGGGCCTCCGTGATGGTGCTGAGCGAGGCTTTTTACGTGACGGCAAAGCAGCGGAAACGGCAGCTGGGCCCTGCCCGCCCGCTTGCTCGCTCGGCAGGAAAGGGAAACGGTCCCCCGTTTTGGAGAGTGATAATCTTTGGGGGCTTCTCCCGGATGGAAGCCGCCCTCTCTCTGCATCCGTTGCTGCTGCTGCTGGGGTCAGAAGGAAAGCTGGACACCTCCGGCTGAAGGAGAGAGTGGCCTTCGACCTCTCGGTGGGGCCTGCGTGGCTCTTAAGAGCCACATGAAAGTCCTTGATCTTCCTTTCTCCCCCGCCTGCCTGGCTTCTGAGTAGCCCAAAGGAGTTGGTTTGAGGCACTGATCGTACTTGAAGAGCGCCTGTCTCCCAGCAATGGATGGAAACTAATCGGCCTAGAACTAAGGAGGAATTTCCTGACAGTTAAAACAATTAACCAGTGGAACTACTTGCCACCAGAAGTTGTGGCTGCTCCATCACTGGAGGCTTTTAAGAAGAGACTGGACAGCCATTTGTATGGAATGGTATAGGGCCATGATGGTGAACCTACGGCACGCGTGCCACAGGTGGCACGTGGAGCCATGTTGCCTGGCACGCCAGCTTAGCTCCGGGAGTCTCTGGAGGCTGGGGACAGCAAAAAACATCACTTCCTGTCCAACTGGGAAATGGGCCGTTTCGGGCTTCTGAGGGGGTGGGGAAGGCTGTTTTGGCCCTCCCCAGATGCATAGAGAGGATCTGGAGCCAGGTGAGAAAGAAAAATGGGCCATCACGTGCCAAGAGAGGGGGGGGTGTCGCGCGCATGCATGGGGCGGGGCACATAGAATTATGGGTGTGGGCACATGCGCGCGTGAACCTCCCCTGCCCCCCCTTCCTGGCACGTGATGGCAAAAAGGTTAGCCATCACTGGTATAGGGTCTCCTACTAGAGCAAGGGTTAGACTAGAAGACCTCCGAGGTCTCTTCGAACGAGGTTACTCTGCTATTGTTCGATTTACAACAGCAATTGAGGCCAGAAATAAACTCACTATACGAAGAACAGTTGCAGGAACTGGGTATCTCTAGTTTAATGAAAAGAAGGACCAGGGGTGACATGACAGCAGTCTTCCAATATTTGAGGGGCTGCCCCAAAGAAGAGGGAGGGGGGCCACCTCCAAAGCACCGGAAGGCAAGAGAAGAAGCAACGGATGGAAACTAACCAAGGAGAGAAGCAACCTGGAACTCAGGAGAAATTTCCTGACAGTTAGAACAATTAAACAGTGGAACAACTTGCCACAAGAAGTTGTGGCTTCTTCATCACTGGAGGCTTTTAAGAAGAGATTGGACAACCCTTTGTCTGAGCTGCTATTTGCAGGTGGTCCTCAACTTACAACCATTTGTTTAGTGACCGAAGTTACAACGGCACTGAAAAAAGTGACTGTCACACTTAGGACCATTGCATCATCTCTGCGGTCAGGTGATCAAAATTTGGACGCTTGGCAACTGACTCATTTTCACTTAACGACCACATGTTTTACTTAATGGCAGCAATTCGCTTAATAACTGCGGCAGAAGTCGTAAAATCGGGCGCGCCTCACTCAACAACTGTCTTACTTAGCAATGATTGTGGTCATATGCCAAGGACTCCCTGTAAAATGACCGATTTAGCTGAGAAATGAGTGGCCGAACATCCGTTTTGAACGGGGCTGAAAACCTGTGACCTTGGATCCGTATTGTGGCTGAGCAGGAGACAGGAAATCTGGGGGGGGGGGGTGTCGGACTTAAGTGGACAAGCAAATTCTTTAGAAGGGAAGAAGTGGAATCTAATCTCCGGTTGAAAATAACAGAATTGGAAGGGATCTTGGAGGTCTTCTAGTCCAGCCCCCTGCTCCAGCAGGAAATGTGAACTGGATACTCACTGTGGCACAATACACTAAAAGTTTAGATAAAGTGTGACCAGGTCCCACGCGTTCATGAGTAAGACGGAGGTTTTATTTTTGGGAATTTGCTTCTTCTGAAGGCAAGGCCTGTTTCTATTTTCATGATAGTCCGTAAAGCGGGTGAATTCACTTTATTTCACCATGCTGGTCCCCCTATTTTTAATTTTAGACTTAAGTGCATTTGGGGTGAATGGAGTAGTTTGATCAAGGCCCTTTTTAGCTGTGGATTGAGGATGTGCAAATAATCTCATTTCTGAAAGAGTGGGAAAGCCCTAAAGCACTTTAAGAGAAGTGGACTTCAACTCCCAGAATTCCTCCGCCAGCAGGGGAATTCTGGGAGTTGATGTCCATTTCTCTTAAAGTGACCAAATTTGAGAAACGCATCCTTGAAAATCCAAACTCTGCCAGCTGGTTTGCAAATGTCAAAGCTTTTAACCTTGCTCGGGGAGAAGTCCCTGCTTAATGCCGCCGATCCTCCATGTTCAGGGGCAGTCTACCTTGGAAACGCCCAGTCCTAAAGGCAGAGAACCGACCCACGCCTGTGTTCTTGGTGGTTTTCCTGGCTGCACATCTGCTTGCCAGCTGTTGCCTTTGGGAACGCTGAACCGGATAGGAAAGCACCCGTTTTGTGTGTATGTGGGGTTTCTTTTTCCTATGGGGTATCTTCCAACATCTGGCAGAACTACAAACCGGGGATCCCTTGCTCCATACCCCCTCTGAAGCCCAAAATAGTCCTGTAGGAAGGGGGGGGGGGGCAGACAGGGGGCAGACAGGGGGCTGGCTTCCCCCCCCCAGCCCTGATGCAATCCTACAATCGGAGGGAACAGCCCCCCCCCCAAAAGACTGGCATTTGTGCAACCTCTTGGTGTTTTTCCTGCCTGCTCCCTCCTTGCACTCCAGCCGAGCTGGTGCCAGCTGGGTGACTCACTGGCATTTCGCCCCCATGCCCCCCCCTCCTTACCTCAGCCTGGTTTTAGCTGCCCTTAAATTTATTCTCGCTTTTAGAAGTTGTTTTTTTTTTTTTTTTAAACCCAGGTTTGCATGCTGGGCAGTGCAATAGGATAGGAGACCCTGAGGCCTTCCCCCCCTGCCCATCCGAGCTGAGCAGCTGTGGCCTTTTCAAGGAGGGGAGAGGGTTGCATTCCAGAGCGCTTGGAGACGGAGGCGAGGCTGACCCATCTCCAAATGGCGGGCCTTGCCCAGATGTGCGGGACTTCAACTCCCAGGGTGCCTTGCTGGCACTTCTCCCACCCCTGGCAGAAAATGTCTCTTCTCTTGCAAGGGCCCTGGGTGTGCATTGCGAAGGAGGGAGAAATTTGATCTTGGGACAAAAACAAAGTTTTCCTGGCCTTTCCTGGGGCGTCAGGCGCAGGGCCGCCTTGCCTGGGGAGGGGGCCCTCCTAAATGACAGATTTGGCAGCCAAATCCTCAGGCGGAATGCAACTCCTTGGGAGAAGCTCTGCGGAATTCAATGTACTTATTTTTATTTATTGACTTATAAAATGTATTTGCCGCCCATCTCGTATCCAATGATTCTTGGTGGCTTATGGCAATTCAGTGCTGTAAGATTTACTCTCCTGTAAACTCATAAGGGATGGCAGCCATCTTTGGACTCCAGAGAGGGGTTCTGCTGAGAACGGGGGGGTTGGGGTGGGGGCTAACCCTGCTTTAAAAAAGGGATGGTTTATTATCACAGCAGGGCCTGGAATTCCCCTCCTCCAAGAGCTCTGTCCTAGCTTAGGGGGGGCATCCCACCCCCAAGGGTTTGTAACTGGCATTTCTGATGGCAATAAATTGTGTGGAAGGCTGCAGTGTATGAAGATGGGGCGATGAAGATGGGGAGGGGGGGCGGGCTAGAAGGAAGTGGTGCTGTTGGTACTGTATGTATGTCTGTGTGGTGCCATTTGTAGCGTGTGTGCGAGGAAGGAAGGAAGGAAAGGAAGGAAGGAAGGAAGGAAGGAAGGAAGGAAGGAAGGAAGGAAGGAAGGAAAGGAAGGAAGGAAGGAAGGAAAGGAAGGAAGGAAGGAAGGAAGGAAGAAGGAAGGAAGGAAAGAAAGGAAGGAAAGGAAGGAAGGAAGGAAAGACAGAAGAAGGAAAGAAGGAAGGAAGGAAAGAAGGAAGGAAGGAAGGAAGGAGGAAGGAAGGAAGGAAGGAAGGAAGGAAGGACTTAGAATAACAGAATTGGAAGGAACCCTGGAGATCTTTTAGTCCAACCTCTACTCAAGGAGGAGATCCTATATTATTCTGGATAAAAAGTGGTCCAACCTCTTCTTGTAAATCTTGAGTGATGGAGAAGGAAGAAAAGAAGGAAGGAAGGAAAGAAAAAGAAGAAGAAGGAAGGAAAAGAAAGAATGAAAGAAAAGAAAAAGGAAGGAAAGAAAAAAGGAAGGAAAGAATGAAAGAAAAGAAAGAATGAAAGAAGAAGGAAGGAAGGAAAGAAAAGAAAAGAAAGAAAAGAGAAAGGAAGGAAAGAAAGAAGGAAAGGAAGGAAGGAAGGAAGGAAGGAAAAGCAAGCAAGCAAAAGAAAGAAAGGAACAGAAAAAGAAGAAAAGCCTTTGGGGCCAATCTGTCCTGCAAAGGAATGTGGGAAATCAGCTGGACCAGCCCTTCAAAAATCACAGCCGAGATTTGCATAACCGTCAGTGCCAGGAGGCCTCGCATGGCTGCCTCGCCTGCCTACCTGCCTGGAACACGTCTGCTTCCTGTGCAGCCCTCGGCCTCCGCCTGCCTGCCTGCCTGCCTGCCTTCCCCGGAACCCTCCAGATTCGAATTCACCTCTCCGCCTGCCCTCCCCCCCCGCCCCCCGGCTCGCCCCACGGTTATCGGTCTGCATTTTTGAAAAGCCTCGTGCAAAATATGTGCCAAGTTGGCAGCGCCACAAAGGGCCACCTGCCTTTCGGTTTCTTGCCCCGAGTGCGAGAGAGACAGAGAGAGAAGATCTTTTCTTCCCCTGCAGGGGAGTTTGTCATCCTGCCTGACACAGTCTTCAAAGGGGGTGGGGGGTGGGGGGTGGTTCCCGGAAGGACTAGGGGGGAAAAGAGGCGTTCAAAATAAAAACACCCCACCTGGACAGCAGGTGTTTTTATTTTTTTCGGCTTGCGTTTTCCCGAGAACACACCTGCCCTTGAAATAAAATAAACCAATCTCTTCAAGTTCAGGATCTTGCAGGATGCCTTAGAGTAGGGGTCCCCAACCTTGGCAACTTTAAGACTTGTGGACTTCAGCTCCCAGAATTCCTCAGCCAACCTTGGCAATTCAAGTCTTAAAGTTGCCAAGGTTGGAGACCCCTTAGAGCAGTGTTTCTCAACCTTGGAAGCTTGAAGATGGGTGGACTTCAACTCCCAGAATCCCCCAGCCAACGCTGCTGGCTGGGGGATTCTGGGAGTTGAAGTCCACCCATCTTCAAGCTACCACGGTTGAGAAACACTGCCTTAGAGGGTCGTTGAGGCCATTTGAAGGGTTACCTGTGTCCTCAGGGTCACCTGAGTGGTGCAAATGGTTCCTGTAGTCTGCAATTTTTCCTCTGGAAATCCATTCCTACTCCCACACTATTGAGGATTACCTGTATTTGCAGAAGAAAATGGGCATTGCCTGGCACCCTTGTACGCACAGGGTATAAATGGCCTAGATCAGGGGTCTCCAATCTTGGCAACTTTAAGACTTGTGGACTTCAACTCCCAGAGTTCCTCAGCCAACCTTGACAATTCAAGTCTTAAAAGTTGCCAAGGATGGAGACCCCTGCCTTAGAGCAGGGATGGGCAACAACAGGCAGTCCTCAACTTACAACTGTTCATTTAGTGACCATTTGAAGTGACGACGACATTGAAAAATAGAGACCTTTTTTACACTTACGACTGTCGCAGCATTCCCCAGGGTCATGTGATCAAACTTTACACACGTGGCAATTGACTCACACTTATGGCGGATCCAGGGTCACATGATCCCTTTTTGCGACCGTCTGACCAGCAAAGTCGCTCAGTGTTACTAACTGAACAACTGGATCAGGAAAGGTCATAATAGAGGCCAAAACTCGCTTAGTGACCGAGTGCCTTAGTAAAAGAAATTTGGGCTTAATTATGGTCATAAGTCAAGGACTACCTGGATGGTAATTTGTGGACTTCAATTCCCAGAATTCCTGAGGCAGCCATGCTGGTTGAGGAATTCTGGGAGTTTAGTTCACAGGTTGCCAAGGGGCTCTACACAGAGCACTGCTCCTACCTGATAAATATTGATTATTTTCGCAGGCCTGTCAAATAATATTTTGTTTATTTTGATTATGTTTTGATATGTTGATATTTTGATGATGTAGAATTATGTAGATTATGTAGAATTTTGGGAGATCCCCCAGAACCATGAAATTCCGGGTTTTTGGGGTGTTCCCAAAAGGTTTGGGGGCCAGCAGGAATCTCCCTATCTAGATAATCCTGGTTTAGCCACTGCCTCATTTACAGCTTTCACAGGTTCATAAAGCGAAGGAACTCTGACGTTTCTTCATAAGCACAGTTGTGGCTTCCCTTAATGGCCGCTTCATTTAGTGACTGAATTGCCGATTGTAGCTGCTAAATGAGGACTATGTATACAGCTAGAGAGGGTGCAAAGCTGTGTTCCCCTCAATCCTTGAGCCATTGGAGCTGTGTTTCTCAACTTTGGAAGCTTGAAGATGGGTGGACTTCAACTCCCAGAATCCCCAGTGGCGCTGCGGCTGGGGGATTCTGGGAGTTGAAGTCCACCATCTTCAAGCTACCAAGGTTGAGAAACACTGCATTAGAGCCATGCAGGTGTCTTTCCCTGGTACCAAAATTCTGATTTTTGCAGGGGGTTTTTCAGCATTGCTTATCTGATCCATGCTGGTCTTTCTGTTTTGCAGTTTCCTGAGTGTGGATTTTATGGCCTCTATGATAAAATCCTGCTGTTCAAACATGACTCTTCAACAACCAACATTTTACAACTGGTCCGAGCCGCCTCCGACATTCAGGAGGGTGACCTGGTGGAGGTGGTTCTCTCAGGTAAAGTGCCTTGGTTAGGGAAGGCAGGGAACTGATGATGTTCCCTAGTTGGGTCATGAAACGTTTGCAAGAAAAGCCACCAAGCTCAGGGAGCACTAAGGACCAGTCCTTATCTTCTCCTTCCTCCTCCTCCCCTTCTCTTCCTCTCCTCCTCCTCTTTCTCAACTTCCCTAATTTAAAAGTAAGTTTAGCAATCAGGTAAATGCATCAGCAGCTAAACTTGCTTAATTTTAATTTGCAGTACATTAATAAAAAAATCTGTCTTAGCTTTGTGAATGCAGCCCCTTCTGTTAGTTTATAGATCTGATCATTTGCACCAGAATACCTAAATTCAAGCAATATATACCGGTACAAGTAGAGAGATAGATAAAATGAGGCAGCTACTTACTTATCTTGTCTTCTGCAGCTAAAAACCCACTTAAAAGGTTTGGTTTGAGATTTGGAGATCAGCAAATTAAGAGCCTCACTAACCTTACCAAAAGGTTTTGCTTCTTGAGTGAAAACAAAGGAAAGAAGGAAAAGAAAGAGGAAAAGGGAAAGGAAGAAAAGGGGAGGAAAGGAAAGAATGAAGAATGAAGGGGAAGGGAAAGGAAAGGAAAGGAAGAAGAGGTGAAGGGAAGGAAAGGAGGAAGAGGGAAGTAAAGGGGAGGGGAAGGGAAAGGAAAGGAAGAAGAGTGAAGGGAAAGGAAAGGAATGGAGGAAGAGAGAAAGGAAAGGGTGAGGGAAAGGAAAGTAAAGAGAAGAGTGAAGGGAAAGGAAAGGAGGAAGAGGGAAAGTAAAGGGGAGGGGAGGGAAAGGAAAGGAAAGGAAGAGGGAAAGGGGAGGGAAAGGAGGGAAAGAAAAGGAGGAAAGGGTATGGAAAGGATATGAAAAGAAAGGAAAGGAAAGGAAAATTCTTTGGATATTCCTTCTTCCTCTCAGTTTCTCACTCACTCTCTCTTTCTTTCTACAGCCTCGGCTACTTTTGAGGACTTCCAGATCCGTCCGCACGCTCTCAACGTCCACTCGTACCGGGCACCGGCGTTCTGCGACCACTGCGGAGAGATGCTTTTCGGTTTGGTCCGCCAAGGCCTCAAATGTGATGGTAAGAAACCTCTCTGTCCCACCCCCCACCCCTACATGCAGTTTTCTACTTCTAAGAAAGTTAGATTTGCACTCAGGACCGGCTTGTAGAACGGGGTTTATTTGGGGAAGGGAAAGCTACAATAGAGAACAGGGATTGTTTGAGATTTCACACCCATACACCCTTTTTCGTGATGGCCATCGGATAGCGGTCTATAGCTCTTATTTTCCGTAGCGGTAAGAATGAGCAATCTATTCCTCGTAAAAGTCTTTATTTTTATTTTCCATGTGGAAAAAATGTCTTTTTGGGGTCTTGAAACATCTGGATAGGCCCAGAGTTTGGACCATCGGAAAGGGGGGCCTGAGAGATATGCGTAAAATGGAGTAATGTTTGTAACCTGGCCAACTTTTTAAGCTGTATGGACTTCAACTCCCAGAATTCCCCAGCTAGGGAATTCTGGGAATTGAAGTCCACATCCAGTTTAAAGGACAAGAAACACTAAAACTGAGCCTTGGCCTACCCTGCAGAGGTGTTGTAAATTCCCTCTCGGCGTGCAGAGTGAACGGTTTAGGAATATAACTTTACTGGCAAAGCATTTTAAATGATTATTTAAAGAAATACTTTAATTACCCTTGCCTTTTTCTCACTCTCTTGGCCCGGTGGCCTCTTCCACCCCACAGGCTGTGGCCTGAACTACCACAAACGTTGCGCCTTCAGCATCCCCAACAATTGCAGCAGCGCCAGGAAACGCCGCCTCTCGTCCACCTCGCTGGTCAGCTCGCAGTCCTTGCGGCTGTCGATCACAGAATCCTTGCCCTGCGCCCGGACGAACTGGTGAGTCAGCCCTGCCTCCCCACCACCCCCGCCGGGCCTGAGGCAGCTTTGCTTTGGCTCTGCTGGTTATTCCTGAGCCTTGAGGACTAGAAACCTGATGCGCCTGGGGCGGAGCATGAATTCTCCTTCATCGTGTGTCACTTTTAGGATTCAGTAATTTCTAACAGTTTCGGGCCACTCCAAAGCAGCTCTCCTTCCTTCCTCCCTTTTTTCTTCCTTCCTTCCTTCCTTCTCCTTTTTTCCTTTCTTTCTTCCTTCCCTCCCATTGTCCTTCCTTCCTTCCTTCCTCCCTCCCTCCCTCTTACCACTTTCCTTCCCTCTTCCCTCCCTCCCTCCTTCCCTCTTTTCTTCTTTCCTTTCTCCCTCCCTCCCTTCCTCCCTCCCTTCTTTCTTTCCTCCCTCCCTCCCATCTTCCTTCCCTCTTCCCTCCCTCCTCTTTTCCTTTTCCCTCCCACTTTCCTTCCCTTCCCTCCCTTTTTTCTTCTTCCTTCCTTCCTTTTTTTCCTCCTTCTTTCCTTCCTTCCTTCCTTCCGTTCCTTCCTTCCTTTTTTCCCTCCCTCCCTCTTTTCCTTCCTTCCTTCTTCTTCCTCTTCCCTCCTCCCTCCATTTCTCTCTTTTCCTTCCTTCCTTTCTCCCCTCCCTCTCTCCCGCCCTCCCTCCCTTCCTGTCTGTCTCCTCTCCTCTCCCTGCACTGATCCTGTTTCTCTCCTGGTCCAGAGCCGGAGTACCACGGAGCTTTTTCCCCGCCGCCTGACCTCCTGCACCTACATCGGCCGCCCCATAGAGCTGGACAAGCTCTTCCTCTCCAAGGTGAAGGTGCCCCACACCTTCCTCATCCACTCCTACACCCGCCCCCCGTCTGCCAGTACTGCAAGAAACTCCTGAAGGGGCTCTTCCGCCAGGGCCTTCAGTGCAAAGGTGAGGTGGGGAGGAGGCATGGGGAACTCCCTGCTACCAGATATTTGCAGCCTTGCAGGGGTGAGGCTGGCTTTGCACAGCTAGAACCTGTTTTGTTCCTGGTCTCCCCTGCTGGCAGCTGATGGCATTACAGCCTTCGGGCCACCCCTTTTCACAGACGCAGGGCCAGCAAGTGACTTTTGGGGTGGGGGTCACTGAAAAATGGCCTCCTCTCTCTCTTTCTCTCCTCCCCCTCCCCCAACTCCCCTCCAGATTGCAAATTCAACTGCCACAAGCGCTGTGCGACCCGGGTGCCCAACGACTGTCTGGGAGAGGCGTCCTTTAATGGTGGCGGTGAGTTCCAAAGACGTCTCGTGTTGCAGGTGGGGCAAGATGCAGGAGGCTGTTGCCGAGGGTGGGATTTTATTCTGGGAGGGGCAGGAGGGATGTTGCAGAGCTGACCTTCCGGCACGGTTTCTAATTACGTGATTTGCTTAACGACTGTGGCAGAAACGTCATAAAGTTGAGCGTGATGTACTTACCTGCCTTGCTTAGCACAGGAAATCCTGGTCCCATTGTGGTCGTAAGGCGAGGACTACCTCTTTGGTACCTCGTTTGACCGTTTCGAGATGCCCACGATTGGAACGCATCAGGATTACCAGATCTCTGGCAATTGCTGGTTATTCCTGAACCTTGAGGACTAGAAACTTGGGTTGGATTTGCCTCACTGGATTCCTTTTCCTCCCCTCAGATGTGCCGATGGAAGAATCGAGTGATCTCAGCGAGGCGGATAAGAACTCGCTCATGGACGAGTCCGACGATTCCGGGATCATCCCGGGATCTCATTCGGAGAACGAGCTGCGCATGGACGAAGACGTGGAGAGCCTCCAGAAGTCCCAAGGTGAGGCAGAGACCCCGACTGCGCCATCCTCTCGTCTCTGGGGCTCAAATTCTGGTCATAAATCAAGGACCACCTGCATTACAAATCCTCCTCCAGTTTCGTAGCCGTTGATAATTCTGATTTTTCAGGACTTCCAGTGAACCCCCCCTCCTCATCTTGGGGGGGTGTTCGGTTGCCCCGCGACCTCCAACCACGCTGACTTATGCCCCCGTCTCCCTCTGCCCCCCACCCCCAGCTCCGTAGGGTACATCCCCTGATGCGAGTGGTGCAGTCGGTCCGACAGACGACGCGCAAGTCGAGCACGGCCCTGAAGGAAGGCTGGATGGTGCATTTCAGCAACAAGGACACCTTGGTGAGCGAGAGGGAGGGGCTGCCCTTCCCCAGGGGCTGGGGGATTCTGGGAGTCCAAGTCCACAAGTCTTAAAGGGGCCAAGTTGGGAGACCCCCTTGCTCTAGAGCAGTGTTTCTCAACCTTGGTAGCTTGAAGATGGGTGGACTTCAACTCCCAGAATCCCCCAGCCAGCGGCACTCAGACAAAACGGCCATCAACGGGCACATAGAGATGGACCACATTTACACACCATTCAAAAGAGACAATCAAAAAGCTAAAAGATCACTACACTTCCTGGCCAGAAATAAAATATCCACAAGAGCAGAGATTAACACGGTGTTTTCAACCTTGGTAGCTTGAAAATGGGTGGACTTCAACTCCCAGAATCCCCCAGCCAGCAGCGCTGGCTGGGGGATTCTGGGAGTTGAAGTCCACCCATCTTCAAGCTACCAAGGTTGAGAAACACTGCTCTAGAGCGGAGTTTCTCAAGCTTCACAATTGAAAAAGATGGGGGATTCTGGGAATTGAAGTCCACTCGTCTTTCAGTACAACAGCAGGCTGGCCAGGGAATTCTGGGAGATGTAGTTCACACAGCTTCAGTTTTGCTAGCATTCTGGGAGTTGTAGTTCCACACATCTTAAAGTTTGCTAGCGTGGATCCTGGGGAATTCTGGGAGATGTAGTTTATGCATCTTAAATTTTTGCTAGCATGCTCGCTGGGGAATTCTGGGAGTTGAAGTCCTCCTATCTTCAAGTTCCTTAGCAGGCTGAGCAAAGGGGGGGGGCTTTCATTGGGAGAGAGAAGCCCCTTCCTCTCCTTGCCCCCCCGACCCCCAAACATTTTCTTATTTTTTCCCCTTCGCAGCGGAAACGTCATTACTGGCGGCTGGACAGCAAGTGCCTCACCCTCTTCCAGAACAACAGTAGCAACCGCTACTACAAGGTGAGCCTGTCTCCTCGGGGTCTCCAGGACAGGGGCCAAAGTGGGCAGCCGGACGGACCCCCTTGGCCTAGCAAGCTCGGGGGTCCTTCGCTGGGGGGGGTGGGGTGTCTTCTCTCAGCTGAATCCTTTGGGTAGAAAAAATGAACGGATTAGGAGCTGTTGGGTGTTTCACAGCCCAGGAGGTGACTTTTCGTCGGGCCCTGAAAACTTATTTATTTCACCTAGCCGGGCTGGCTTGATCCCACTGTTTTCAGTTAAATTGAATTGATTTTAATTGGGTTGTTTAAAATTGTGGCAAAAAAATATTTAATTATTTTTAAACTGTTTTTAAATTTTGTACGTTCTGTTTTTATTCTGGCTGTTCACCGCCCTGAGTCCTGCTGGAGAAGGGCGGTATACAAATTAAAAAAAAATAAATAAATAAATAAAGTAGAGGATTCCAGAGCAAGGAGGGACACCTTGAGGTCATCTACTCCACCCCCTGCTCAGAGCCAGTGTTCCAGCATCTCCCACAGCCCCCACTGGAACCCCTGCTTCGCTATTTGTGGGTCTTTTTGCCCAGAACTGGAAATAAACTCCGTTGTTTGTTTGTTTGTTTTTGCAAAAAAATGTTGTCAATCTCACCGGACACTCCAAACAGCCATAAATGAGCCAAATAGGGGTCACATGACCACAGGGGGAAGGTGGACAGATGTCAGAACTTCAGAACCAGGCCATAAGCACCTTTTTTGGGAGGGTGGGGGTGTCTGCCGTAACTTTGAACGGTTGCTAAGCCAACAGTCGTAAAGTGAGGACGTATCTGTGGAGAAAAGCCGATTTATCGTCCTTTTTCCTTTCCAGGAGATCCCGTTGTCGGAGATCTTGACTGTGGAGCAAGCTCAGGACTTCTCCCTCGTGCCGTCCGGGGCAAATCCTCACTGCTTTGAAATCATTACCGCCAACGCCACCTACTACGTGAGGGCGGAGAACGGCATCCCGGCAACCCCCAGCATGGCGGGGACGGCCTGGAACACGCCAAGGCCTGGGAGACGGCCCTCCGCCAAGCCCTCATGCCCGTCGTCCTGCAGGGGGTGCCGGCTGCCCAGGGACAGCCCCCCACAGTAAGTACCGCATGAACCCGGATAACATAGTTTGCATAGATCGGTCGTCCTCGCTTACCGACAGCAATCGGGTCCGGCAGCTCTGTTTGCAAGCGGTGCAGTTGTAAAGTGGAATGGCGCACAACCGCCTGACTGATGAGGTCAGTTCCAGGTGTGGTCATTAAGCGAATCCCTTGAGGTCGTTAAGCACAAAGTGACGTGACCATGGCTTGCAAACTTTCCTGCCGGCTTCCCCATTGACTTTGCTCTGGGGAAGCCACGGGTGTCAGGTTGTGAGAGGTTGTGAGAGGTTGTGAGAGGTTGTGAGGATCTGCCAGGGAAGGTCGCATATGGAGATCATGTGACTTTGGGAAGCTGCAATCGTCATAAATATGCATCACTTTCCAAGTGCCCAAATCACGATCATGCGACCCTGGGCACAATGCGACGGCCATAACTTTGGGGACCGGTCACGAGTCTCCTTTTTTAGCATCATTTCGAACAGTTTGTTGAACGGTCAGTAAGTGAGGACTTCCTTGCCAATCCTGCTGAATCAAGGCTTGTTCTGAGCATGCTCCTTGCGCGACACTGCCCACTAATGATGGGAAAGGGTATTACATTGCCTTCTCTCGTTGGTTTGGGGTCCTTGGAGATACATCGTGGCCCTCTTGGTCTGCCAAGTTGCTTCCAGGGGCCCAGTTCCTGGTGCACCAGAGGGAAGAGAGAGTCAAGATGTCTCAACAGATTAACAGAGTTGGAAGGGACCTTGTAGGTCATCTAGTCCAACCCCACCCAAGCAGGAGACCCTACACCATTTCTGGCAGATGGCAGTCCAGTCTTTTCTTGAAAGCTTCCAGGGATGAAGAGATGGAGGAGGTTAAATCTTTCTGTCCTGTCTCATCTAGGACAAGCGTCTTTGAGGATCTCCGTGTCCAACAGCCAAATCCAGGAGAACGTGGTGAGTGTCCTACAAGCCACCATTCTTCTGCCTCTGGATCTCTTTCTTTGATCTCATCACCTGCTGGAGGTGTCCTCAAGAGGTGACTTCTTTGTCCAATTGCAGGACATCGCCACCGTCTACCAGATATTCCCAGATGAGGTCCTGGGCTCCGGTCAGTTTGGTGTGGTCTACGGAGGTAAGTCAACCGCTTGGCTTCCTTTTCCCAGATTTTGTGATAGAACGGCGGGGTGTCAAAACGTCAAGATGGCAGCTCTCCACACAGGTCAAAACGAGGAGGGAGGGGGATTTGTTTTCATTTCACAACCCTCCACCATGCCATTCTTGAAATTTTGTGATGCAGACCTCAAAGCTTGTGGGAATGACTCTGGAGATGATCCTGGATCTCAGAAAGGACCAGTTGTGGTCTTCCAATATTTGGTGGTCTCTGGTCATTGCTGTGCTGAGAACCCAAGTTCAGCAACTGAAGGGGAGCCACAAGTGGAGTTTCCCCCTATCCCTGTGCAAGTAGTCTTGACTTACGACCACAATTGACCCCGAAATTTCTATTGCTATGGATCATGGGACACCACAACCGTCACAAGTACATGCCAGTTTCCAAGTGCCTGAATTTGGATCACATGACCACACAGGGATGCTGCAACGGTCGTAAATGAAAAACGGTCATACGTCACTTTTTTCAGTGCCCTTGTAACTTTCAATTTGTCACTAAACGAACTGTTGTAAGTCAAAGATTACTTGTACAGCAAGCAACAGCGATAGCACTTAGACTTATATACCGCTTCACCGTGCTTTTACAGCCCTCTCTAAGCGGTTTACAGAGTCAGCCTCTTGCCCCAACAATCTGGGTCCTCATTTTACCCACCTCGGAAGGATGGGAGGCTGAATCAACCTTGAGCTGGTCAGGATCGAACTTCTGGTAATTGGCAGAGTTAGCCTGCAATACTGCATTCTAACTACAAGGAAGGAAGGAAGGAAGGAAGGAAGGAAGGAAGGGAGGGAGGGAAGGAGGAAGGAAGAAGGGAGGGAGGGAGGGAAGGAAGGAAGGAAGCAAAAGAAAGGAAGGAGGGAAGGAAGGAAGGAAGGAAGCAAAAGAAAGGGAGGGGAGGGAGGGAAGGAGGAAGGAAGGGAAGGAAGTGCAATAACACTTAGTCTTATATACCCTTTACAGTGCTTTCCAACCCTCTCTAAGCTGTTTACAGAGTCAGCCTCTTGCCCCCAACAATCTGGGTCCTCATTTTACCGACCCCGGAAGGATGAAAGGCTGAGTCAACCTTGTTTACCTTTCCAGAAATTAGTTTCCCTTTCCAGAAAATCAACCCTTGGCCTTAGCAACCCTTAGAAACAGACGATGGTCCCATTTGGGGCCAAAGATGAAGTCTTGAAGGCATCTACCAACCTTTTCCCCCCCAAGGATTCCCGCCTGTCAGAGGACGTGTCATCTCTGGGGAGACTCAGAGCTGGTCTGGAGGTGGGTTAGAACCAACTAACTCCATAACGTCTTGCTAAGAGCTCTTTCCCTCTTCTCCTGCCAGGGAAACACCGCAAGACAGGGAGGGACGTGGCAGTGAAGGTCATCGACAAGCTTCGTTTCCCCACAAAGCAGGAGAGCCAATTGCGGAACGAGGTCGCCATCCTACAGGTAAGCCAGGTGCATCCAGTCTAGCAACACCCCTGTCCATGGACTCCTCGCTTTTCATTTTTATTTCATTTTTCATAATTAACTTGCCAGGGTCATTGGACGATATAGATAAATACATTAAGATTGGACTTTAGGTTTTAAAACCTGGGGCTCCTGGTTTGGGCAACTTGTGAACTTCAACTCCCAGAATGCCTCAGCCAGGAAGGGATTCTGGGAGTTGAAGTCCACACATTGGAAAGTAACCAAGACTGAGAAGCACAGTGCTACCGCATGGCATTTTCTCTAGATGTAGTATTTTTTATTAATTACAGCTTCCTCCCCTCCACATTGATTTTACTATTATAACAGTATTATTCTTCAGGCTGGTAATTTTACTATTCTTCTAAATCAGTGTTTCTCAACCTTGGAAGCTTGAAGATGGGTGGACTTCAACTCCCAGAATCCCCCAGCCAGTGTTGGCTGGCTGGGGGATTCTGGGAGTTGAAGTCCACCCATCTTCAAGCTTCCAAGGTTGAGAAACACTGTTCTAAATGATGGGATTGCCTTATTCAAATTGCCTTAATGCCTTACTGTATTCATGTTTCTTAACTATACAAGCGACAGAATGTCATTTTCAATGTGTGTCAGTGTGTAAAATAAATAAATAAATGACAACAAAGGTTATTTAGAATAGAATAGAATGGAATAGAATTCTTTATTGGCCAAGTGTGATTGGACACCACAAGGAATTTGTCTCTGGTGCATATGCTCTCAGCGTACATAAATAAAATAACTAATTGACTCTTTTGTGGCACTCAGCCTGGCAGTATTCTCTCTGCAGGGGTGGGCTGGGGAGCCCCCTTTCCGTAAGGGTAAGCCTCCTGTTTTTCCTTTTGACCCCATCCTAGAGTTTGAGGCACCCTGGGATTGTAAATCTGGAATGCATGTTTGAGACCCCGGAGAAGGTCTTTGTCGTGATGGAGAAACTCCATGGGGATATGTTGGAGATGATCCTGTCTTCAGAGAAGGGCCGGCTGCCAGAGAGGCTGACCAAGTTCCTGATCACCCAGGTAGAAATGCTTCTCCAAATCTATTTATCTTTCTTTCTTTCTTTCCTTCCTTCCTCCCTCCCTCCCTCCCTCCCTCCCTTCTTCTCAGTAGTGGAATTCAATTTTTTTTTACTACTGGTTCTGTGGGCGTGGCTTGGTGGGCATGGCAGGGGAAGGATACTGCAAAATCTCCATTCCCACCCCACTCTGGGGCCAGCCAGAGGTGGTATCTGCTGGTTCTCCAAAATACTCAAAATTTCCACTACTGTTTCTCTAGAACCTGTCAGAACCTGTTAAATAGCACCCCTGCTTCCTCCCTCCCTCCCTCCCTCTACTTACTTACTTACTTACTTATGTACTCACTTACTTAGAAAATTTCTTAATAAATAAATTTTGAAGAATGTAATACAAGGATCTGTCACTAGGTGGCTCCAGAGTCCTAACTAAAAATAACACTTCTGCCTTGATCTGCAAACCAACATTAGAGATTCTTCCCAGAGGATTATAGGTTCCTTAAAACAAAGAGCAGAAATCCCAGTTTAGGGCTATCAAGTCTCTTCTAGCGTCAGAATGAATCCGGCAATCTCAAAAGAAAGACGGGGCTTCCTTGGTCCTTTTTCTAAGTTATCCACATGTCAAATGCAACTTCTGTACTTTGCTTCTGATCCTTTTATCCCGTTCCCTAAGTAGCATCGACAGTGCTAGAAGAGAACGGGGTTTGCAGAGGGGAGGAGGAGAAGGAGAAGGACACCCAACACTGAATACGTTACCTAGTTGGGTAATGAAATGTCTGAAGAAATCCATCAAACTTAGAGAGCACCAAGGACCCCACAGTTCAACCCTGAGTTACAAAGATTCTCTTCCGTTGATACTAGAAGTTACGTGATGGCCAAGGTTTTTTTTTTTTCCTGGACGCTTCCTGTCTCCTCAGGTCCTGGTTGCCCTCCGGCATCTGCATTTCAAGAACATTGTCCACTGCGACCTGAAGCCTGAAAATGTCCTCCTGGCGTCCGCCGAGCCCTTTCCGCAGGTAAACCGTTTCTTGCACTAAGGCTCCTCCAGACAAAGCACGCTAGCTTCCCTTTCACCCCAAAATCCGAAGTGCGTTTGTGGGATAGTTAACCACAATTCTCCAAGAATTCAAGTTAATTCAAGGTCCAAGCAGTCTGAATTTGGATCAAAGGGAGGCTGCAAAGGTGATAAGTGTGAAACGATCCTAAGTCACATTTTTCAGTGCCGTCTTAACTATGAACGGTCACTAAAAGACGGTTGTAAGTGGAGGACGGCCTGTACAACTTACCCCTGCGGGCTAAGCCTCCCTCCCTCCCGTCTCGGCTCTGCAGGTGAAGCTGTGTGACTTCGGCTTTGCCCGCATCATTGGGGAGAAATCCTTCCGGCGTTCGGTGGTGGGCACCCCGGCCTACCTGGCCCCCGAGGTGCTGCTCAACCAGGGTTACAACCGCTCGCTGGACATGTGGTCGGTGGGCGTCATCATGTACGTCAGCCTGAGCGGCACTTTCCCCTTCAATGAGGACGAGGACATCAACGACCAGATCCAGAACGCCGACTTCATGTACCCGCACAACCCCTGGCGACAGATTTCGGTCGGAGGTAAATCGTCTTTGGAAAGGAGGCCCTGGCTTGAAAGGATGAGCTGGGTGTTTTGACAACCTTGGTCACTTTAAGCCAGCATAGCATTTTTCTTCCTTCTTTCCATGCTTCTCTATTCTTCCTTCCTTTTTTCCTTCCCTCTCTATTCCTTCTTCTCCTTCCTCCCTCCTTCTTTATTCTTCTCCCTCCCTTCTTTATTCCTTTTTTCTTCCTAACTTCCTTCTCTCTATTCCTTCCTTCCTTCTGTTATTTCCTATCTTTTCTCTATTCCTTCCTTCTCTCTTCCTTCCTCCAATATTCTTTTTTCTCTCTATTCCTTCCTTTTTTCTCTCCTCTCTATTCCTTCCTCTCTCTCCCTTCTTTTTCTTTCTTTCCTTTCTTTCTTTCTTTCTTTCTTTCTTTCTTTCTTTCTTTCTTTCTTCTTGGTTTCTTTCTTTCCTTTCTCTTCCTTCCTTCCTTCCTCTCTCCCTTCTTTCCATCCATCCGTCCATCCATGCCTACCTAGCATCACTTGGATTGAGTTGGGTGGCGATAGAAACTGAACGAATGAGTTCATTGATAATCCGCCCTGGTTTGACGGCTTGCTCCTCCTCTTGCCTCCTCTTAGCCATCGACCTGATCAACAACCTGCTGCAGGTGAAGATGCGGAAACGTTACAGTGTGGATAAGTCACTCAGCCACACTTGGCTACAGGTAGGTGGAAGAGGTGGGGGCTCTCCTGACCCAAATGGCTCACTGGAGGTCAGCCTTCCCCACCACAGTGGCCTCAGTGCTCTCTGAGCTGGGTCATTTTCTTGCAGACGTTTCATTACCTAAGTAGGTAACACCATCAGTGCTAGAAGGGAGGAGGTTTGCAAAGTTGAGGAAGACGAGCAGGACAAGAACTCTGGGGTTCTTGGTGTTTTCTGAGCTTGGTTATTTTGCAGACGTTTCATTACCCAACTAGGCAACACCATCAGTGCCAGAAGAGCATGAGATCTGCCCTCACAATCTTGTGGCTTGCCCTCTCAGTGTGGACGGGAGTGTGATCAGTGTGGCCACCCAGGTGTCATTCTTAGTTCTTTGGGCCGGTCACCACCTGGTCCCTGAGACGCCTGCAAATGCTGCCAACCTGCGTTGTGGTTTCCATCTGCCCCCCGTTTAGGATTACCAGACCTGGCTGGACCTCCGAGAGCTGGAGAGCCGGATGGGCGAGCGCTACATAACCCACGAGAGCGACGATGCCCGCTGGGAGCACTTTGCTGCCGAGCACAGCCTGCAGTACCCCGAGCACCTGCGCGTTCGCCGGCTGCAGGAGGAAGACGAGGAGGAAGAGGAGGCTAGAGAGCAAGAGCAGGAGATGGAGATGCAAGGCTTGGCCGAGCGGGTCAGCGTCCTCTGAAGGCTTGGCGAAGGAGGACCAAGAAACTGGAAGAGGACCTTGACTGGAGCAACCCCAGCCTCTCGTCTTGAATTGGCACTCAACACCTCCCCAATAATCACATTCCCGGAGGTTGGAAAATAACAAAAAGAAACGAAAACTATCGGGACGTCTTTGGCTGCTCCGAGGCCACAATTATGAAGCCCCTCAATGACTCGCAATGCTCAAGGTAGAGTCCCCTGAGCGCTGGGACACACACGGCCCTCCATTCGTTGTTTCCTCCCCTTTTTTTTCGATTGGGGGTGTGTGTGACTTTCTTTGCAGGTTGCATTAGCCTAGTTTGAGCCTTTTCCCACGATAGTCCTGGGTTAATGCAACGGCGGCCAGTTTTCTTCCTCTAGGACAGTGTTTCTCAACCTTGGTAGCTTGAAGATGGGTGGACTTCAACTCCCAGAATCCCCCAGCCAGAAACATGCAGCAGGCAGAAAGACGCTGGCTGAGGAATTCTGGGAGATGAAGTTCACGAGTCTTAAGGCTGCCAAGTATGGAGACTCCCCCTGGTCTAATAAATATTGAGTGGGAGTTGGTTTCTTTGATCTCTGAATTGGTGTTTCTCAAACTTGGCCACATGAAGCGGGGTGGACTTCAACTCCCAGAATCCCCCAGCCAGAAACATGCAGCAGACAAAAAAAAAAAAAACTGGCTGTGAGGAATTCTGGGAGTTGAAGTCCACAAGTCTTGAAGTTGCCAACTTTGGAGACCCCACTGGTCTTGAGTGGGAGTTGGTCTCTTTGATCTCTGAATCGGGAATTCTGGGAGTTGAAGTCCACCCCGCTTCAAGTGCCCAAGCTTGAAGGATGCTGCTTTTAATGAGTTAGCGGAGAGGTGAGGATTGTTGTCAAGCAGCCAAAAACTCACTCAGGCAGTCTTCAAGCAGGACACAACTTTTGGGGGATAAAAACAGAATCGCCTCCCCTCCCAAATCTCTGCTCCTTCCTTTACGCCTCCCAAACGGCACGTCGGCTCTCCGAAGTTGACCGTTTGAAACAGGCCAGCGCTGCCAAAGACTAGCTCCTTGTGAGCGCAAAACAAAGCCACTTTCTCTTCCAGCGCAAAGTGGGCCAACGTCTTTGCCTCCAAACTCCAAGCGGGCTGGCCGAAATCCATGCGCCGGAAGGGAAATGAGGAAACCCCAGAAAGGGGGGGGAGGAAAGGGAATACTATGTGTTTCCCCCTCCCTTATTTTATTTTTTAAAAAGTATTTCTCTATGAAAGATTCAGAGCCCATTCTGCACATCCGGTGTGAAGGATGAACCCATAATTTTTGGACGGGACAGGAATTCTCCATCTAATCTAATGCTTTTCCATGATGGTCAGCTATAGAAATATTTTTGTCCCCAGCCAGGCTGATGGGAATGGTAAGTCTCGCATAGTTGGAAGTACGGAAGAATTTTCCAGGTCTCTGGATCTGAGGTTAGGAAGGAGAAATATGTGGGTTTGTGGTTGTTTGCATAATACAAACCGAGGTGAGATTTTTCCCTCTTCACAGCAAGATTTCAGCCCCTCAACGTTGGCATTTATTAGATTAATGGTCCATCTCTACTCCCTGCTATTAAATTTGGCCATCAAGCTTCTGCTGAATCTTACCAATTCCCCCAGGCACTTAACTGGATTCACACACCGCACCAAGTTTGTGTTTCGCTCATGAGAGCTTGTGGAATAAACCACTATTGATTGGTCAAGGGGAAATAGTCAGTTTTAGCGCGGGGCAGTCTCTGATGTGGCCACTTCGTAGGAATTGGGCTTGCATTGAAGAGGCAGCTTCCCCCAGACAATTGTTTATATCCTGAAATGTCTATTTTTTTTTTAAATAACCTGAACGTTGTGCTGTATATAAAAATACATTTAAATCCTAGATTTGAAAAGGTGTCTTTTGAGTTGCGTGGAGATTTGGCTGCAGAAGTCAGGAGAAAGTCCATTCCTTTCTCTGTTGCGCAGATCTCTGGGGAAAACACCCATCGGATTCCTGCTTATTTATTTATCCTTCTATTTATATATCTGTTTTATTAACTTTGTATGCCGTCCATCGAGCATCGAGCATCTCTGGGCAGCTGGCAACGTTGCTCGGTTTCATTCCGCTTTCCAATCTCTGGAAAAATCCTTCTCTCAAAGTTTGTACCTCACATTTTGTTGCTGCTGGGGAGACCCTGCCCCTCGTTTTTCCAGGACTGTTCAGCAGCTCAGCAGTCTCTGCTGCCTTAGCCCAGGCCTGGCGTGCCCATTGGCACCTGCGTGGCAAGCTGGTTTGTGTGTCATTTGTGCAAGGTGGACCTTTGAAAACTGCCGCGTGAGGCTTAAAACTGTGCCAAACATGCCGGAGGTTTTGGAATGAGTTGACGATGGTCAACTCTGAAACGGAAGGTCAACTCTGAGATGAGCTTGCAGAGACCAGAAGGAAGTGATGGAGGTGGCGGTGGCAGAGGCTGAGGGGTGCTAGGGGTCAAAGGAAGTGTGGGGTGGGGGTGTAGAAAAAGGTGGTTTGGAAAGCTTAATTCTGGATCCAAGCAGGCAAGCAGAGGGAGAGATTAGAAGAGAGGTCAGGAGAAAATGGTAGGAATTGAGACAAGAGGTGGTTAACACCTGATCCTTTGGCTTGGTGTTGCTCAGCCTGGGCAACATGAAGAGGGGTGGACTCCAACTCCCAGAATTCCCCAGCCGGCATGCTAATGAGCTTGAAGAGGGACGGACTTCAACTCCCAGAATTCCTCAGCCGCATGCTAATGAGCTTGAAGAGGGACGGACTTCAACTCCCAGAATTCCTCAGCCGGCATGCTAATGAGCTTGAAGAGGGTGGACTTCAACTCCCAGAATTCCTCAGCCGGCATGCTAATGAGCTTGAAGGGGTGGACTTCAACTCCCAGAATTCCCCACTTGGCATGCGAATGTCTCAGAAAGCCTCATAAAATCACATGAGCACCACAAGATACCATTAAGATAACACCACAACTCTAGACTTACACATATGCTCTCCAAAAAGAATAATCAATCTTGTTTTTCAGAGACTGGTAGATGGTTGAGATGGTTCCTAGATTTTCCAGCTGTGCAAAGTACAGAGCATTAGCTGGCTGGGGAATTCTGGGAGTTGAAGTCCCGTCCCGTCCCCCCACTGCCTTAAAGGATCTGATCCCTGGCGAGATGGCCGCTCTCTGCACAGGCCGCCTGGAATTCGTCCATGCCTGGCGACGAGGTTACTTTGAAGTAGAGGGAGGCAGGAGGACTGTGGCTATAGCAACAATGGAATATACAGACAAGAAACAGTTTTTTCCTCCTTCCAATCACTTTTTCCAGAACACGACTCTGCTGCACATGGCTTGGCACGCGGCCCCTCTCCCTTTGCATATGCTTAGAAAATCTGGAACAGATTCGGTGGTGGCGGAATCTGTTAGCAAGGCACCGCGTTCCTTCTCGGAGAGGGACACTCGGATCTGCTAACAAGCCAGCTGCTAGCAGCAGGCTGTAGGTTGGCCACACTTCCAGGTGTGGAATTGACACAGGCTGTAGATGGGAACTGACATGTATTCCAGGTGTGGAATTGACAAGGGTTGTAGATGGGGAATTGTCATGCATGCCAAATGGGGAATTGACAAGTTCCAGGTGTGGAATTGACATGTGTTCCAGATGAGAATTGACATGGCTTCTAGATAGGGAACTGACATGGGTTCTAGATGGCGAATTGACAAGAGTTCCAGATGTGGAATTCACAAGGGTTCCAGATTAGAATTGTCATGGGTTCCAGATTAGAATTGTCATGGGTTCTAGATAGGGAATTGACATGCATGCCAGTGAGGAATTGATATGAGTTCAAGATGGGGAATTGACACACATTCCAGGTGTGGAATTGACACACATTCCAGGTGTGGAATTGACAAGGGTTCTAGATAGGGAATTGATGTATGTTCCAAATGGGGGAACTGACATGGGTTCTAGATGGTGAATTGCCAAGAGTTCCAGGTGTGGAATTGACACGAGTTCCAGGAGTGGAATTGACACGAGTTCCAGATTATTGGTTCTAGATAGGGAATTGACATGCATGCCAAGTGAGGAATTGACGTCAGTTCCAGATGGGGAATTGATATAGGTGCTAAATGGAGGATTGACAAGGGTTCCAGGTGTGAAACGCATCGCTCAGGATTACTCCTGAGAGCTACAGAGCCCCTTAAAAGTGGTTGTTACTCCCCCTCTACTAATACCCTTTTCGGTCAGGGGGTGGGTGGGCAGGGAAAGGCATTGTGGCGTTTTGAGTTTCCTGATGTGGAAGTCTGCCTCTGTCTTGAGTAGCCAAGCCTTTGGGGATCAGCTTTGGGGGAAGATTGTCACCAAATTGCATCCCACATGCAGCAATCCACCCACCGTGCGAGGCGCCTTGGCACGTGGGCAGCCCAGCGTGAGGATGAGAGGAGAGCAGAGCTGCTTGCCAGCAGCCTCAAAGAGACGCCTTCTTCCTATTTCCTTCCTCCCCACCCCTCACAAGGCCAACATTGCTATTTCTCACTGTCCTTAGCAAAAGGATCTCCCCCCCCACCCGCTGCCATTGCCATGGCTACCTGCTTCTCCATCACCATGGCTACCTCCTCACACTATTATTATCCCCACCATTTATAAACCACTGTTGCTAACCATCCTTGTCACTGTCACTTCTGCCAGCCCCTTCCTCCTGGCCGCTGGAGCATCGCGGCGCATGGCTGGAGCATCCCTGGAAGCTGAGAGCCAGCCTCTCCTCCTCCTCCTCCTCCTCCTCCTGCTTTCTCCCCTGCAAGAATCATCCAAGGGACAGTCTGACTTTCCCTCTTTTGCAATGAGGGATCGTTTGCCAGAAATCCGGCTGTCTCCTGCCATGTCTTCCTCTGTGGTGGATCTCTTAAAAACAAATTCCTGTCACCACTGGGTTTCCAAGCTGTGGTAGACCTCATCTTCCATCCCCAGCCCAATGCTCCAGCTATGTAGGGCGATGGGAGTTGTAGTCCCAAACCCCAGAAGGGCCTTGGGAGAGTAGGAGTCTGGTCAGTTTGAAGCTTTCCCCATCCCAAGAAAGGATGCTCAGAATTGTTCAAAAGGCTCCTGTCAAAGATGTTGCCCCAAATTTTCCAAAGCACCCAGTTTCAAATCTTCAGCCAGGTTGGCTTACGAGCAGCAGGTTGGGGAAAGGAGATTTATTTCCTCCCTTCCTTCCTTCCCTCCCTCCCTTCATTTTTACACTGATGGGAAGATACAGAATGGGGGAGCATCATCTGGTCCAGTGAATCTCAAACATTTGGACTTGGCTCCCTGCTTTTGGGAGCGGAGTTTCTGGAGTGCTGCTTGCAGGAGGGGGAAACTCCCTGTCCCGAGCAGTGTCTGAATCAGTGGCAAAATCCACATTTTTTTATTACCGGTTCTGTGGGCGTGGTGTGGCTTGGTGGGCGTGGCAGGGGAAGGATACTGCAAAATCTCCATTCCCACCCCACTCGGGGGCCAGCCAGAGGTGGGTTTTGCCAGTTTTCCGAACTACTCAAAATGTCCGCTACCGGTTCCCAAGAACCTGTCAGAACCTGCTGGATTTCACCCCAAGTCAGCCAACCTACCTTCCCCAACCTGTCGCCCTCCGGCCGTCTCCCCATTCCTGACTCCCAGGTGTGTGTGTGTGAGAGAGAGAGAGAGAATCTGAGCTGGGCTCCGTTGTCTGAACTGCAGAGGGATATTTTCCAGGCTTGCTGACGCCTATCAGGACCCCCCCCCTCTTCGACCCCCTCCTGGAGATCAAGTCCGCCTTCTGCGATCCAGTCCTTCAGGATCCCTTTCCAAGCAAGGCGGTAGCCGAGTTGCTCTCTTGTAACGGGGAGGCGGTAGCACAGTCGGCGGGGCCCCCCAGAGCTTTCGGGGACCCCAGGCCCCAACTCGTCCAGCCCCCGGCATTTAGTGGCATAATTTAGTGGAGCTCGAGAAAAGTCCCTCTCGCCCCCCTTTGGGACCAAAGAAACGACGGGGACCTGCTGGGAGGGGAGGGGCGGGGGGATCCCCGAAGCTTCATTCATTCAAACACAAGAAGTCGGCCTTGGATGGGCGGTCACTTCGGTGGGCGGGGCCAGGTTTTTATCAATGGGAGACTGGAGGGGTTGGGCCAGCAGAGGGTGGAGACATGCAAATGAGCTGACAAATGATCCAGGCGTGTGGGATCCAGGCGGATCGGGGAACCGGAGATCAGGGAGCGGGGAATTTATGACTATTGGTTACGATTTGATCATTTAATTAATGGTTTAAAACGATTTAATGTCCAGGGCGTGGCCAGCCAGGTTCATTGAGCCGAGCGGACCAATAGAGGAATCGCGGGGCGTGGCTTGCAGGCGAGGCAGGGAGGGGAGGGCACCAATGGCTTGAATCAAAGGGCTCGATTATGCAAATCAGGGACGCGCCGCTCGGGGCGGGGCGTTTTATGCAGATGAAGGGCCCAGCAGGTGTGTCAGTAGCTCGGGCTCCGCGGGCGGCGGGATGCAGATCCATTTCTCCAACCGCCCAATAAACATGCGGCGAGGGCGGGTCCCAACGGGCCAAGTTCCAATGGCCGGCCTTCAAGGGAGGACGCCATGCAAATTGAGCCTCCCGGATGAGCCAATGCCCGATCCCTAAGGGGAGCGGGGGGGGGGAGGCTTTTGTAAATAAAAGCCGAGCGGAGGGAACCAATGGCGTGGCTGCATCGGGCGAGGGCCCAATTGTTTGAATGGGAGGCGCGGCGCTGAGCCGGGGAGGGCTAATGAGAGGCCGAGTCTCCCAATCCGTCTCGGGCGGGCGAGCCAATGAGCGGCGCCATGCAAATGAGGCGGTGACAGCAGCCGGAGCCGCAGCGGCCACCGAAGCGCTTTCCCGGCGCCGGAGCTGCAG